CCAAACTCGTGTTGACAAGAACGCCGACTGCGCCGAATCTACTGTCGCTTGTTCCGAGGAACAGTTCTTCGGCGTTATAGATGGCGTTGAATGGGTGTAGCCTTCTCGTCTCAGACAGTCCGATAACGTCACACCTTATGTTTCTTGCCTGCACGATCAAGACTTCCATCAAGGAATCGGATGCAAATATGCGTGTATCCTTGGTACAAATCTTCAATTTGGGCAGTCTAGAATGGCAGGAGATTTTAGCGACTTCTCCGTACTCGCGCTACTCAACGCTGCCCAATTGGGGCTTTTTCGGAGTCAGGGGAATGAGGCCCGTTTATTTTACTGTGTTTAGCTTTTTGATAACCACATATAGCTAGCTGAGCTCTGAATCTGGAGTTAGGTATACTCACGGGTAGCTTGCCAGGCTCTCCCAGAGTGAACATGGAGCTTATTTGTTGGAGGCGACTCCTAACCACCTCCCGTATACTTCCCTGTCACTTCATTGCAAGCTTTTGGCCGAATTGACTCGAATACAGCCACGCACGTACGCATGAATAAGTCTTCGTAAACACAGAGAGCACGTGCCAAACAGGTCCAGCACAAATAGTGACTCCATCTCTTGCATCCACCTGCATCTCAGTGAAGCACAAAGTCGAATTTCGGCCGCGATTAACCCCTCCACCCACCGCTTGTGGTCGCGTCACATTGCATCGCGCATTCCTTAGAGGTGATGAAAGCCGAACGATTCATCCTTTGTAATTTATTCCAAAAAGGTCTTGGTTAGAAAGGCATTTCCATCTGATGTGATCGGACCCGGTTTTCACCGCTCGTTGTTTAAAGGCATTTAACTCCAAATGTAAGGAATTTTTGAACGAGTTATTAAACATGGATTATTGTACTTTAGAAACACTGCATGGGAGTCATACGCTCTTGTCGTCTATGTTTGATGTGAGCCATCATTCTAATCATTCTACTCTACAATTCGAACTTTGCTCGAACAGTGATTGACATGTAAAACTGAAAGCTATTTGGAACAAGTGGACAGCAAAGGCACCCACAAATTTAGAAAACAAAAATCACCACGTATGAAAATCCTTTTGAAAGAAATGACCTCATTATATGGAAAGCAAATGAGTCTACCAAGAGTACCACGTTGATAAACGAATTTCCATAGGAATAATAATGTAAAGGCTACCAATCTCTCCGAAAACTTGTTCCGCAAATTTTTGTCATTCCAATAATCGGTAATTGTTGAAACTGCTCATTAGCAACACATTTATAAAGCTATTTAGAAAACAAAAAGACCGAAACCAAACATTCTACCAGAATAACTCTACAATGGAACATCATTTTAGCCAAGAACATGGAGCTCAAAACCCGAAACATGCAGAAAGGCTAATAAGGATAAAGCTCTCGGCGTTGATCAAGCCCTAAGAGGAAGCGTCATGCATTCGACTTCATTAAGTATCGTTTGGAGGTGACTGAATACATACAATAAATATCTTATATGAACTACCCAAATATCAGATAAAAAACTAGCTGAGAGACAGGCAAAACGAAAGACCCGCATGGTGTGGCCCCGGAAAGGGCAATAGCGCGTTCGTTCCCCATAGGAGACACCTGTGGTCCGGAGTTTTGCAAATATCTCAGCATCTTAACCTTTTTATTTACTGCCTATTCTTTTTAACGTCAGGGTATGTTGCGAAACCTATCTTTTATAATACTAAGATATTTGAAAAACTCCGGACCGCAAGTATCTGCGGTGGGGAACGAACGCGCTGTTGTCCTTTCCGTGTAGTAACGCGTTCACCACCACACCATGCGGGTCCTTCGTTTCGCCTGTCTCTTAGGTAGCTCCATCGATCTTTTGCCGTCAGCAACCACCCGTCAAAGGGATTGATCTGGGGAGCCCAAATCGGCATTGAATCAATTTAAGCTGAGGCTATAATTATAATAAAGTTAAAGTTAATAAAGTTATAACTATAGCCTCAGCTTAACTGGGTTCTATGCCGATTTGAGCTCTTCAGATCAATCCCGTTGACAGGTGATTGCTGATGGCAAAAGATCGATAGAACTAGCTGAGAGACAGGCGAAACGAAGGACCTGCATGGTGTGGTGGTGAACGCGTTGGTCTCTGCAAAGGCGCGTTTGTTCCCCACCGCAGACACCTGCGGTCTGGAGTTTTACAAATATCTCAGGATTATAGAAGTTATCTCAGCATCATTTAAGTTATAGGAAATGGACAAATGTTTAGAGTTGTTGAATGCACAGTCAGAGTATATCAAGTTCACCCGAGAGAAATCGAAAGAAAAATGGCTTCCATTCCCGAACGTCCAAATTAACCTGTTAGAAAATGCCTACTGGTACCAAAAGCCAAGTAGTTAAGACATCTCGGTTCATTACCTCTCCTCTCACCCCTCTCACACGAAAAGGGTGCTTGTAGGAAACATGTTTCGAGCAGCAACCAACGTGTGCACGGGAAGAGAGCAGAGAGAGGAGTTCCGGAACTTGGTGCAGCAAATAGTCATTTCTAATGGCTACGAAACTGTAGCTCGGGATAGGTGTAGGGGAAATCCTAGGCCCCAAACGACAACTCTAGCGATAGAAAGGTCCCGTTTATCCTACCCTTCACCTCAAATTATGTAAGTGCAACTATAAAATGCTGCTTAAGAAGGCTGGTCTAGAGAATTTGGTAAACGTAGTTGGAATGCCACCGAGTAATCTTAGGCACCATCTAGTTCGTAAACGCCTATATGACCGTCTATGTGCAACGCAGAATTGCATAACTTGCCCTAATGGTAGAGACGGTGATTGCATGAGCTCGGGTATAATTTATCTGATCTCTTGTAAGGCGTACGGAGACGAATACATTGGCGAAACGGGCAGAGTCCTCTGTGTCCGCATAAAAGAACACCTAGCCGGCAAACGTTAGCCAAATAGCCCGCTAGGCACGCGTAGGACCCAAAGATTTAACGTGGAGGACTTTGAAGTACGTGTCACGATCCTCGCGCAGGAATCAAGAACACAAGCGCGCAAAACTCTCGAGGCATTCTGGATTAATTCCAGAAATCCGAAAATGAACCGCAGGGAAGAATGCCTCATTATCACGCGTGATATAGGGCAGTATATAAGACTGTTATTCTGATGGGAGGGGCACATTACGATTCCATGTGAATCCTGTGCGATTGGTCTCCACGCGACATTCTCAGTGGAAACTGATAGAAAGCGGCGAGTGTGCAAAGACTCTGTATTCAATGTGATTGAAATTTTGCTTTAGCGTTTTCTGTTTGGTTATGGAGGTGTTTGGCCGAACAGATTGCTGTCAACTTGACCTTTCCAGGCTCTGAGGAAAGCGAAATCCACCGGAACAGCTTATTCGTGAATAAAGAATAAAAATAACACCTCGCGTTTGTTCAACAAGAATACGAAGACTTGATCAATGCCGAGGTTAATAGAAAGTCGGTCGTGGGAGTTACAGGGCTCTTTGCCAACTGGCTACCACTTTTTCACGTACTTCAAAAAGCACATTATCTGGGAGTCTTGAAAACCCAGACTGATGCCTTGTGCATAACTTCATGAATAGCAGAAGCTTGGAATTTTGTCTTAGTAGTGTGGATAAATTTGGATGATGTTTACAGAAATTTGTAACTTGTGACTCATAAAACCGAAAACTATAGGTTTTGGTTTCCAAAAGTTGGAAAATTAAAAATAAAATACCAATTAGGAAGTTTAGAACAGCTGAACAGTATGTGAACAGCTTGTATTGTGTTTTTTTATGGAAGTAAATGTATGCTGTTTAAAAACCTCGCGATTGCTAAACAAGAAAACGACACATTCATAAAATACCAATCAAAATTCGGTTGCCATAAGCTCTTAGAAGATAGACGGAAATTATCGGCACCGCATAACCGAGACAAAGATTGTTGGGTTCACAAAAACCAGGTTCGAAGCCCAACCTCGCAGGCAGGATGTCGAGAATCATGATCACACCCAGAACAGCCTGCGTAATATCTCCTTCATTGACTACCATGTTCTAGTGCAGTATCCATATAAGACTGAGACAAGAATATACAGGCCTCTTTCCAATCTAGTTAGGCTTCATTCGAGCCACAACCAAATCCCAGTACAACTGCCCGCCTATACTAGAGAAAATCGCGATAAGACCTTGAATTTCTCAAGGACTCTGCACTCATCACAAACAGTGCTCGTTTCTTTCTTTTTTTTAATCAATTATCGGAGAAATGTGTTAAAGCAACTAGCACCTTGATTATGTACTCAAGATGTAATTTTTGGATAGAACACGATTTCATGCGGATTCCGAATGGAAGCGATTTCCCTCACAACATTAGACCACCTGACCTCACGATGGACAGAAGGTAACGCAACACTGAGGAAAAGGCGGTTTTCAAGAATTGGTCATTCGATTTCGAGGCTTTGTTTTAATACTCCTCTGAAATCCATATGAATGCCACAGGCCCAAAAGAGCGCGTATACCACAGTGGTCGTAAACTACCCGCAATACACATTGGGTCGATCCCCATGCCACAGGCTCACCAAGCATTCCATCCCTTTGGAATCGGCAATTTGGTATCAGACTTGTCTGAGAGGACAGTAGCACTGGCTCCATACATTGGTATACCAACGCGAGTCATTGCAAAGCCTAGATATGCATTCATTCACCTTCAACGATGCTTAATGAAGCCGAATACATGGCACATCCCTCAGGGATTTACCAACGCCGAGAGTTCTAAACTCTACCACAGGTCTGGTTTTCCTTCTCAATTCCAAAACTAATTCTAGGCTACATTTCATTTGTGACTAATGAATGCGATTCTAGCATTTCCGATAACAACAATGTGCAAGCTAAAATTCCATAGCATCCGAATTTCCTCAGAATTAACATTCATTAATATCATTCATACACGAAAACAAAACAACAAAACGTTTTGCATGACGAAAAAACAAGGAACAAGGCAGCCAAACAAGTTCTAGTTCTATCCACCTCTGCTTCTTCAGTTAGCTTGAGTAACCTCAACGTTGACTCCAGGCTCGATGGAGATCGAGGTTATCTTGCGCAGGAGATCTGCAGGAGTATGGAGGTTGATAAGACGTTTGTGAATGCGCATCTGAATGGTTAAAATAAGTTAAGACATCGACAACACAACACTAAAACATTCAAATTTGGAGAGCAATAGCTTTGAAGGCTAACCTGGAAGCGATCCCAAGTTTTGGAACCCTCTCCACAGGGAGTCTTGCGAGTTGTAATACGGAGTACTTTTGTCGGAAGGCGAATGGGACCTTTCACAACAAGGTTCTCATTCTTGGCACCTTCGATCAATTGTGCGCACACTACAACTGCTTCTACTTAGAAATACGACTATTACCAATACGAATGTTTACCGTTAAAATACCTAACAAAACTTATGGGCGACGTAAGCCTAAAAGGAGCCACACGATGCAAAACCAGTTGCCGCTTTCGAGATTCACTTCAATTTTCTGCCAATTCTCCTTTCCCTCATGACAGGAAAAGAAATGGTTTGAAGCATAACTACAGGGATCCTGAGATCAGGGCAAAACACGCAACTTCAGGTGAAATTCGCACTCTGAATGCCTTGCCGGGGTCAGATACTCTGTCCACTACATCAGCCAAGGACCTTTACTTAGAGTTTCTCTCAGTCATGTTTTTACTCTATCGGTGCTATCAACAACTTATGTTTTGCAAAACGAAACGTGTTCATTATACAACCACAACATTACTAGCTTTTGGCACAGGATTTCACTACATATGTTGAGCATATTACTTTTGTACCAGGTTGTTAAACACTTTTGATGATTGTATGAAAACATATTTAAACACAAGGCACCTAAGAACCTGTAGTGTTGCCAAATACACGCCGTTATGAAGTACACTGATGAACAAGAATCCAATGTTTCAGCAGAAATATCTCACTACCTTACTCGATAGCAAGGTTGTTCGGAAAAGAAAGTTTTAATGCTTCCTCGCTAGCAGGAGTTTCACTGCCCTAACGAACTAACTCGTCAAAAAGAAAGGTCGTTGTGAATATTAACTCTGGAATTTTGCTCCTCTCAGACCACAAGTGGAACAATATTTTTTTGTTTAAAGTCCCCAAAAGAGTACTAACATAAATAAACCTGTGTTGCAAAATAAACAGCCAGAAAAAAATGCACTTAAATCAATATAGAGGGTGGCGAAAGCGTTGAAGAAGAAAGAAAAGAAAGTAGACCCTGATAAAACGCTAATCGGTAAGCTTCCTCTGAACTCTTAATAAACCAAGAAATGGGAATAACAGCCAACCTCCAAGTTACAATTGAATGGGAAACAGCGTACAGAATGAATAACACGAACACTCTCCAAAAGGAGCTATTCTCAGACTTCCACATCCAGATTTCATGGCTCACATGTTCGCTGGTAGGTTATTTCCGCTCGGTTGTTTCTTTATGTTTCCTATGTTGTTGTTAAGGATGGGTAAAATACTCACAGCCCATGAAAGAAAAGCTTCTGAAAACTAGTAGCTAACTGCGTGGTAGCGTCGTACCTTACGAGACCATGAACCGCGACTCAATGAAATATATATATATATATATATATATGCAATGAAACATTAAATTCTCATTCATGTGATTAGTATAAAGAAAAGGTGGAAAGTTTCTTCGCTTTGACAAAAACGAGTTGATAGGTTCCATAGAAGAATAAGGGATAAAGCTCTCCGCACTGATCAATCCCTGAGATATGCAACTTGTATTCGACTTCATTAAGCATCGTTTCGAGGCGGTTGAATGCATGTCTGGCCTTTACAATGACTTGCGGAGACCTACCGATACATCGAGCCAGTGCTGCTGTCCTCCCAGACAAGTCTGGTACCAATTTTCTGACCCCGGAGGGATGGAAGGCTCTTGGTGGAACATTGGCGCAAGGATCGATTCCATGTGTGTGTTGCAGGGCACCTCCAACTAATGCGCCATACGCGCTAGGTTCCACAACCAGATGAAATTAATGGGTCTGTTGTTGGTATTTCGAGCTCAATTCTTGGGGTCACACCTAAATATGACAACTGTGTAATAAGTGAAAACAAGATGTGATAATATCCATACAGATCCACTAGTTCATGGTAATGCATGGTTCAGTAAAAAAAATTGTTCCTATAACAATGAAATAAAAGAGAATAGTTCGAACAAACAATATACAAGTTATATTTTAACTTCTACTTGCTGCCATCACACCTTATCATGGAAAAAGTATAGGCAATGTATGGGCAATATGGCTTCGACTGCAGTTTCAGGTCATTTGGGTTTAATGGCGGCCTCTGCTCCACAGACTACTCCCGTTCACGGCAGACTGCTGATAGCACAGTTAGAGTAGAAAAAAAAATAGCTGAGAGGAAGGCAAAGAGTTTCGGTTGGTGGCGTATATAGAACGTAGGATCCCGGAAAGCAACTGCAGATTGGAAGCCCACCTCAGATTCCGAGCTTTGCTCATACCTCGACATCCTAACATACCACTGATTCTATTCAGGATTGCAAAAACCTACCGATTTGAATTCTGTAGTAACGAAAGTGATTTACAAAATTTGGCCTAAATTTAAGCACAATACCACCTTTCTCGAGAGACTTCACATCTTGCGAAGTTAATGTGAGCCGAATGCGATGCTCAGTGTTGTCGGTCAAAGGCTTCTCATTCTTGTATGCGATCCCAGCCTACAAGCAATATTAAACACCAGAGACTTACAGAATAATCCAGACCATGCAGCAGAGGTCATTCAATGGAGGCTACTTCTTTCAATAAGCAAAGAGACTTACCATGATTAAACTTAGTATGAGTACCTGCGAGTTTCGAAAACAACCAATGCTATCTTTTTGTCCAAGCTTTTCTGTGCTCTTGTTCCAGTTTGATGGCTAAAATCTATAGTCATTAAAGAATGCACGAATTGTCAAACAATAACATTAGAACATCGATTCGCCTAAATAGGGGAAGAACACGCAATCCATCGAAGTACTGGCAATACGTTAAGGACAACGAACTAGGCGATAAGTACTACATGGCATAGAGGACAAGAATGGCCAAACCCCATCAGAACAGAAAAAAGAAACCTCCGAAATCTGACAATGAGTTTAAAATATGAACCGCAACCCGGACAAAGCGACAATGAACACGTAGATATCGAATCCTCAGTGAACGCGTGTTACAGTACCCGCAAGACCTGCACGTCGCCCGCGTTTAAATCCTATTTAAAACTATGTGTATGGAAAACTTTTAAGCGTTACGAGTAGTCTCAGGATTGTTATTCCGCTTTCCTTATGAAGTGTCTTTTAATTTGAGCACTCCTAGGGTTAGGATATGTTTAATTTCCACGTATTGGCTACTGAAAATTATAGTTTTCTGGGAAAAAAGGCATGTAAACATTATCTTCCTGTTTTCCTTCCTTTCGTTCTCGAATTTCTTCACTGGTATCTCACATCTTCTTGATTAGAAGCTTTCTTTGGCTTAGTTCGGAGCGTTATCCATTGAGAAAATCCATTGGGAATGTTCTGGTGTTCTGTTATGCGTAGGAGTTTTTGAAGACAGCTCTTCATTGACATGTTTTGGAATCTGTAGTGAATTGTTAAACTTTTAGATGATTGGGGATGTGAAGTCGATTCTTGGGGAGCCCAAGAAGAAAGATGAGGTCTCCGTGAAGCCGATGTCGTTAACGAACATAGGAAAGAAGGTTTGGTTGCTTCTTGTCCCCATTTTACCTACTGACTTCTTTTCATCCTTGTTTTTTTTCGCTCTTAAGTAGTTTTTTTTACCACTTGATAGTGCTAGTCTCCATCATAGTCAACAACACGGCGTTCGGATTCGAACTTCAAACGTCCGGAGAAAATGCATCGTGAGTTGTATAACCTGATTGGCAATGCCGAGACGAAGGAGGCTGGCGCGGTGGTCCCAACAGAGCTTAGAAAAGGTTTTCGCCAACTGAACGCTCAGGTAAATTTCAAATCGGGAAAGTCTGGACACTTTAGTATTTAGCTTTTCGTTCTATGTCTTTAGTCCTTTCTCCTTGCTTTCCTATCGGAGCGTTCCATTGGCAAGGTGAATTGCTGAAGCTTGTCCTAGAAGTTGTCGATATTTCCATTACCAAATTATCCCCACATGTTGCTTAAGCGTCCATTTCATAAAAACTTTTGTTTAGAGGTCGAATCATCATTAATCAGCTAGCCTCGATTATATCTGCTTGTTTAAATGTTTTTCTGACGCTATAAGTCTGTTGAGATCGTATGTGGTCTCTCTCGCCCTGTATCTCTGTATCTCTATCTCTCGATGACTCTATTAGCGTCCTTATTAATTGTGGTCGAGGAAAACTTTTAGTGAATTCTCCAGAAATTTTTTCAATATGGTGGAAACGTATTTTATAAAGAAAGATTATTGTCCATCGTACTCTTCGAAGTGGTGAAAATTCTACTTGCTTGCTCCAAGTGGTCCACTTTTTATTGCAGCTAGGTGGGCGTCCTGCTCGTAAGTACAAATGGGTGTCTTTCATCAACGAGGCTCGCAGTGATTCTCTTCAGTTGTATCATTGGCAGAGAGTTGACAAATTGGATAACCCAGAACCGTATCCATTCGCAAAATTTAACAAAGTAAGTCCTCAGTTTCCCTCTTGTTGTTCAACGAACCATGCTTGAAATTCCAATTCATCGATGTGTTGAACAATTTGAATGAGAACCTGGTTATTTCAAGGTTATTAACATTCCCGACTTCACCGATGAAGAGTATGACAAATACCTCAAGGTGGATAATTGGACTTTGGAGCAAACAAGGCATCTTTTCGATGTGTGTCGGCGTTTTGACATTCGGTGGGTGTTTACGAAAGGGTTTTTAGAATGCCATTTCTGCTTATTGTTTGTGCATTTTAAAATCGCCGTTTAGTTGGCCCATTGTCCATGACCGTTACGATAGGGAGAAGTATGGCTTTAGATCAATGGAAGACTTAAAGGATCGGTTTTATGCGATTACAAACGAGTTATCCCTTCTAAAGGTACGTTTTTCGCCACACCTTTTTTTACTTAATTGCGTACTTGGATGGCCATCTTCACTAGTTTTGCGGGTCCCCGCAAAATTTCCATTTCTTCGGAGATTTGTTGGTTTAGCTATTATGGCTTCCTGGAGTCTTGGGGTCGGCCTAGCCCAAGTCTTTCCCCAGTCATCATCACCCCAGGCAGTCGCCGCCCTTGTGAATCGGAGACATTTGCCACCATGCGACTAGTTTGATACTAGGTCGACGGTTGCTCCTGGTGTTGGTTTACTCTTAGCTAGGTTTCCTCATGCAAACGCCGGATTCATTCTCACCTAGGGATACCTTGCTGAGAGATATGAATCCCCTTGCTGTACATTGCAACCCAACACCCAGGAACAAAGCGTGGACACGATGAGGCGGTAAACCGTTGGAAGGTTTCTTCCTTTTACTTTTTTTTTAAAATTTCGCTTTCAGTGCCCCTTCACATGATGTCCTTGATTTGCATTCCGTTCAATATTCCGATTTAAAAGACTACTTAAGGATCCTACGAGCGAACCCATTTGCTTTGATGCTGATCATGAACGCAGGCGTAAAGAGCAGTTAATTAAGCAGTGGAATCGAACTAAGGAGCAGGTTGGTACCATCGACTTCCCTTGTGTGGTCCATTGCGATTTCTATATAGTAATGAGTAGTATTACTTATTTCGTCATCTGCTTATGAAACGTATGGTGATATGATGCTCATGAGTGCTTCAAGTTTGCAGCTAGAAGAAGAAGAGATGCTTCTCGCTGAATTGAAGCGCATTGAAATCCGGAAAAAAGAACGTGAAAAGAAAGCCCAAGACCTGCAGAAACTCATCAATATGGCAGAGGCACCGGCCAGTCCATCAGTGAGGTACGTCTCCTACGGTGCTGGTACACAGTACTTCATGTTAGAAAATATTTTCTAGTCATTTTTCTCACCAGCTAGTGTTTATAAGTTTCAATTCATACTTGAACCTTTTTCTTTAGTAAGAACGACAAGGTATGGAGATGGTAGGAGCTCTTGTTTTTTTAAAATATTTTATTACAGCGGTATGTGTATGTCGCCAGCGATGGGTAAAAAGAAAAGTATATTCCGTCAAAAGGGTGGTTCATCTACGGCTACCACGTCTGGAAATATCAGCTTCAATCCTGTAAGTTGTTAAAATGCAGTCGTTGGTTTCCTCTCTTATATGTTACTTTGTTTTCAATTCTATAGAGCAAGACTTTCTGGTAGAACTGTCACCTCTCATAGTTGTCTTTTGTAGATGGACATTTCTGTCTCTGCTATTAGATTCCCGGAGTTTAAGTCAGCAGGGGCCCATCTGCGTAGTCAAGAGATGAAGCTGCCTACGAATATTGGACAAAAAAAGCTCAAGAATATTGAAGTTGTTCTGAAAAAGTGTAAACTTGGTACGTTTTATTGACATTTCTTCGAATAATCTGCTGTACTTTTCACGTTTTTGATCCAACATATTCGCGACAGTATTGTTCACGTAAAGGGTGAGAACCTTTCGGCCTCTAACTGTCAAACAAGCATATCTCTACTTGCGGTGAACTTGTTGTGAAAAGCTAATTTTATGTATTTTTGCTTTATATGTATTTTATTTTTGCTTTTTGTCGTCGAAGGACACGAAGTAATACGATGTTCCTGTCAGTTATAGGTTTTGTTGTTGACGGTAAGGGCGCTTGTGGCGCAGTGGTCGGAGACGCCCCGCAATATACATGGGATCAATCACCACGCCCCAAGCTCACCAAACCTTCCATTCCTTCGGGGTCTAAAAATTGGTACAAGACTTGTCTAGGAGGATACCAGCACTGGCCTGATACACTGGTAGACCACAGCGAATCATTGTAATGGTCAGATATGCATTCAATCATCTCCAAACGATGCTTAACGAAGCGAATGCATGGCGCATCCCTAAGTGATTGTTCAACGCCGAGAGCTTTACGCTTTTCTTTATATATACATATATATCACTAGGGACCTAGGGTGAATTCATTTCCATAAATTTCCCGACTCTTCATGCACTTAAGTACTCTAGTTTAAGTCTTGGAAGTTGTCGAAAAATCAGCGGGATCCTTAGGACAGATAGGAGATATTTCAGTGTTCTGCATAGAATATATCTTTTTAGAACTGAATCCTATGGGTTCCGAGGCAATCGTGGCCGCATACAACGAATTTCGGTCGCAAATAGTTCTCCTACAAGAGTTGAAATCGACATTACAAACTGCAGAGTTTGAGCTCGAAACGTTGCGAAATAGGCTTGTCGAGGAAGGGAAACAGGTGTTTCTATAGTGTCTTATGGTTGTTAACCATACCTATATTTCCAGAATGTCTTGTATTTTAAGAAGCTCGAAATTTAAACTTTTTCTGCTAAATTTAGCCCTTCGAAATTGAAAATCGGATGCGGATTTCCACGCTTGCAGAAGGTGGGCTTGATTCTGAGGAGCTGACTGGTGAAGAGGGAGCACCGAGTACGACTCGTCGAATTACTTCATATATTGACACATCTACTGCAACTAATCCACTGTTGGTAGGTTTCGTGTTATTTAAAATAGTTGTTTACTGGATTATGGAGTATGGATTGGTGTAGTGGCGACTATCGCTATTGATTTTCGAATAAACTTCGGAAATCACATTGTGACATTCTCAGGTGCGAAAACGGAAACTTCCTCCTGGTGGTAGTTCAGTTGAGCTAATTCGAACAAGGAAAAACTGATGTGTTGAGAGTGTGTTTCACTGTGAGTACAATTTCAATTACTCGGTATGTAGACACTATTCTCACAGTATACACCCACCACAGGCGGCTGACAAACTTTATTTAATTTTAGGTGATTGGTCAACTAAAATAATAATATTCCAAAAAAGAACCACAGTAAGTAAAAAACATGCTTAATCCTCCTTTATATGCACTTTAATGATGAGGTGACTTTGCTTGCTTCGTCACGCTGATTTCTTATCTCATTTTCGTTTTCCTTGATTTTCTGATGTTTCCTTTTTCCTTCTCCGTTCTCCTGTACCGGTTATTCCTTTCTCTCGCATGTAGTTGTGGATCAGAACTAGTACTGCTAGCACAATGACTATAGAAACTGGAACAATCAGATTATAGCAAAGCGTTTGCTATAGAAGAGTGCATGTTATGATATTTGCTCATTTTTCACTTCTGTTTGCATTCGGTATAATTCGGATAGTCGGAAAATAGTCGTTGATGAAGTAATTCCCAGGACCGACTTTCTACTAACGTTGGCATTAATCGGTAATTCGCTGTTTTCTTGATGAACACATATGAATCTACTTCACTACTTGTTAGTAACAGCCGACTTTTCGACGGATCTCTGCTTCTTTCCATGTTGGAAAGGTCAAGTTGATTGTGTTCTGGTCGGCCAACCACTATCTTGATCTCAGCAGAAAGAACTCTACATCTAAGTACCTTACGATAAACAGGTTTTTAAAAGTACTCACCGTTTTGCTCTTATAAGTCTTCAACTTATTGAGTGGGACCGGCCGCACAGAGTTCATATGAATGAGTAAAGTGACTCATGTCAAAATATTAGTCTGAGATATTATGTGAGATCATGTGTGATAACGAGGTATTCTCTCACTGTGGTTCATCTTTAGATTTATGGAATTTATCTAAAACTTTTCGAAACTTTTGCCATTGAAGTTTTAAATTCCTGTGCGAGGATGATGACTTTTGCTTAAAAGTCTCCATTAAGTTTTTGTGCTCTATGGGCGCATAGTGGAGTATTTTGCTTAACTTTATCAGTCTATCATCTAGTCTGTCATTTTGGAGTTTTTTCTGTTGACGATATGAAAGTGTTCGACTGAGTATATTGCGGTGGTCAGCTTGACCTTTTCAGGTTCTGAAGAAAGCAAAGTCGTCCGGAACATCAGCCATTGTGAACAAATGGTATAATAATAACCTTGTGTTTGCTCATCAAGAAAACGGTGAATCATTTGTCGTTGACGAATTGAGAAATGAGTCCGTAATATCTCCCACCTCCTATTATACCTACTTTTTCCATCAGAATATTTTCTTCTTCAAGTAGCTTGTCTTCTTGTCTGCAAAAGAAATGTCAAATATGTCAATCTCACGTCGTTTTACTTTGGAGTAAGCTCACGTGTCCAGCAAAAATTTAATTTTGAATTGTTGTCTGCTTGTAGATGCTTCGATCAGTGGGCCAACGACTTCAGTCTCGTTTGGTTCAATAAGAATTAGATCGAAGGCGTTCGGATGCACAACGATTCCTTGTTGGTGGCATGCTTTCAAGAAGTTGTAAGGAGCAACGGATTGACCTCCAATTTCCCATGTTGCCTGAATTGTACTGTAAAAATGTCACAAATAGAATTCGCTTGAAATCGACTCTAAGTTTACCGATTGTAAATGTTTCTTATCTAGACCATCCAATCGCAGGCGGTAGCTTGTATTCGTTTCAAATCTGGAACGTTACGTGTTGGTCTATATTTCTGGCGTCTAGATATAAGTTGTGACTACATAGCACTATATGGTTTTCCTGTTCTGGAACATATGAATTTCTTCGGTTAAATATACTACGGAGTTATTCAATTTCAATTGAGTTGCCTTCTTTTTCAAGTTTCAAGGAAAACGAAACGAATTGCTAGTTCTAATGTTAGAAGCATTTAATGTTCCATTGTAAGACGGTGTGAACTTAGAAACGTGTTAATCCAGAACTCTACCTAAATGAGACACTACTTTCAGTTATCGATAGTACTGTCATAGGTACTGTCATGCACGGATCCGCTATCACTTGTTCTTCAACCGATGGTGATGGCTGTAATCATGGCATGTTTGACGTGTCATATGTGATATACCTAAGACAATCCCAATAAAAGTTACTTTTTCAAGGAAAGTAGGAGAAAAGGCACAGGCATTGTTTTTATGATTTTACCTAAATATTTGACAAGCCACGTATTTTTCCATGTTATTGAGATAATCTTCGAAATGCGTGTTCTACGGCGCAAATGATTGAGTGCCGACCGCTGTGGCTGAGGGTAGCGTCGCTGTGATTAGATAGCAGATCCAACGCCGAGTTTTGCACTGAGGAGCATGAAATATGAGCGGCAATATGTGGACATGTGAACGGCGACCAAGCGAATAATGGGAAGGGCAGGGTTGGGGCTCGGATCACCCAAGAGGACGTTATACGGTTTGCTACGATTTAGTCCAGTTGATCGGTGTTATTCAACTTTAAAAGCGATATTCCCCGTTGTCCGTTCGTGTTATACGGGCCAGAAAAATCGTAATACCCATCACCTCGTCGATGCCTTGGCCACGGCATGCAGCAAGGACGGAACAATTTGTCTTCTGGGGCATTTCTGTGCAGTCTTGCTCTTCTATGAATACGACACCATCTGGCAGTGCACGAAGTTTATCATTGAGCACATGCTGGAATAGCCGAGAATTTAGACTGTAGTTTACACTGGTAGCTCACCTTTAGCACATCTTCCCAGAAGTGTTTCCTAAATCGAGGTGTTCTAAGAATAAACGATGAAAATATAGCAATGCCATTCTCTCGATATGGTGACACGCGTAAAATTTTGTCCATTTCGTGGGAAACTTTTTTGTTTGGTAGCCGCAACTGAAATTAGATGATTAGACTTCCTAACCTACCCTATCTGAATAGTATGGACATAATTAATTATCGTCTGAATCGTTTGACAAATTGGTGAAATTACGTATATTTCCCATCAAAAATTCTTATGTACCAATTTCTGGGCCCTCTGTACAATGCAGAATTTAGTACGAAGAAGGATAAGCGGACGTGCTTCGATGTCGCTTCTAACTATAAAGATGCGTTCGTAATAGCGTCAAACAGTAATTGTGGAACTAGAGTAAGGACTGTAGCGCACTGAGTGACCGTCCATCTATGGAATATTTGGCTTCTTGCTCTCACTGCGTTTTCTGTTATCTTGCGGAAAATCTTTACTGTTTTGATTTCACAATATTGTATCTTATCCAAAGAAACAAGACAGTAGCGTTTGGAAATGTGGTATGCCCGTAACGAAATACATACGGACCTATTCAGGTTATTTAAATCGTCATTATCAACAGCTTTTTCATGTTTGGGTCTCGGATTTTGAACAAGACATGTTTTCTGTCACAAGAATAAATTTGTTTTGAAAAAGAAAAAAGTCGGAGCAGTTGACAATTGGAGATTAGAACAGTTACCGGTTTTTCGGGGTTTAATAGGAGAACAGAAAGAAATCCTCTCCTTTCCCTATACGAATGGATTTCGTCACTGAAGGAAAAACAAAATTGAAAGAGACATAAGTTTCATTAGTGAATGGAGACGCTTACCACTTTTTGGCGTTAGAGTAGAGCCCGCACAGTGCCACAGAGCAACAACACGCCGAACAACATGACCAGTCCTCCCAGGTGATGGTAATCTACAGATGCTCAATTAATTGCACTAAAACACGAGACGGTCAAATTCTAAAACGGCCCTTTTTGCGAAATTCAGCGAAACCTCTCTGAAACTAAAAGGATCGTGGTAAAACTTATTATGCGTACATAGTGTGCAAAGCCGATCTACCATTATCGTTCCTAAGTCTATAAACATATTGGTATCATCGCTTATATCTAAAAAGAATCATTCCAGGTTAAGAAATTGGAAAAGTGAAATAGATGAGAGTAGGAAAAACGGTGGAGTAATGGTAGCGGGGAAAGTAGACGCTGTGATTTTGCAGCCATGTGATCTTGAAATTGTGTAAAAGTGAAAATTGATTATTTAATGGATTTCACAACGTGAAGTTTTCCGAAATGGCTGTAGAACGAAGGCGAAACATGATACTAAATATGGAATGTCGTGATCCGGATTCGAATAAGGCTATATCAGCTTCCGAGAGAAACAATGGTTTTACAGCTGACGTTTTGCCTCTTTTCCAGTGTATGAAGTGTCGTGTTTGATTTTCTGTAGAGCAGCTATCAAATGACAGGTTATGTTCAGACAAAGATTTCCCTTCTTATAACATTATATTTAGACTTCTTAGGTTAGAAATTCTCCTACAAGGTATTTGTTCTCTAAGGCATAAAGCTGAAATTAAGAAAGCTACCAAAACAATAAGATATTCACCTTGATGTTCATCGTTTCATTTAGGTAAGGCAGATTTGACGGTGAAGAATCAATGGTCACATAGTTTTCGTATTTCATAGAATCTAAAACTGCAAAGCAGTGGTCGTAATGACACCATATTTGGCAACTTCCCACTTTGTCCTACACGATTTTGTGTATGTTTGGACCTTGGTGGATCTTTATGTCAATCAAGAAAAACGTCTTACAGAATAAGTCCTCGTCGTCTGCATTAACGAAGTAGTCGATATTGTGGACAAAACCCAAACTTCTCGGCTCATTGTCTACCATCTGCAGTGAGTCTTTAGTTATTGTAGAAATACGGCTAATGTTTGTTTTTCTCAAAAATAACTACTAGAGGAGACAAATTTTACATAAGTGGTTTATGCTGATGCCGTTGAATGACACCTGACAAAAGGACAAATGATAAAACGTTTGGCGCTGATCAATCCCCGAGAGGTGCACTATCGATTCGACTTCGTTTAAGATCACTAGAAGTGATTGAATGCAGACCTGGCTTATATTATACAGTGACTTGCTGAGGCCCACCACTGTGTGAGTTCGGTGCTGCTATCCTCCAAGGAAAGCTTGACAGCAATTCACCGACTCCGGAAGAATAGATAGCTTGATGAGCTCTGGACGCTTCCGGGACTAAACCAATGACGACATTTGTATCGCAGAGCCCCTCTAACCATTGCGCTGCAGGCGTACTTAATATCTGCCACATCTGCTTAATGTGTTTCTTCCGCTTGTTTATGCAAAGACAGTGGTTTTTCAAATTTTCGTTTCCCTCTTTGTAATTGCACATTGTTTCCAACTGTGTGAAATTCTACCGATCTCTATCAAAGATGGAGAATCATAGAGAATGTCTGGATAATAGGTTGTAAAGGCTTCTATGAATACGTACCTGAGCACAAACTATTGTTAAACCACCAAAGAACTTTTCGTAGAAACTGAGACGACTTGCTACTTCTTGATGTCGCACCGAATTTACTACGTAGCTCATGTTGACGACGTTGATCTAATGTGATCGAGTTAGTAATAGATTGAATAGTTAAAAGTAGAGGCTATTTTGAAAAACCCTCTATTATTTAATTAGAGGACATTGAAGCCATACTTACAAGACCCACAGACGACCTATCGATGAAAAATGGTATGAAAAGTATCATTAACATGTCAGCACTAAAGTTATAGTAGAGGAAAATACGATAATGCTGGTGTCGATTCCATGGGAATCGTAAAAGGAAGAGAAGAAACTGGAGGGTAAAGTTAAAACGGCTCATAAGTGGTACAAGCGGATGGAAAAAAGGGATCAAGGTTATTTACACATGGAAAATCAAGGAATCTTAGTTCTAAGAAATTTACTAAAAGATGGAGATGTGCGACTTCTGTAAATTTTATCACAGAAACCATTCAGCTATGCTGTTCTGTCCGGGACACTGCAGTTCAATTTTCCGTTAACCTTAAATCTCGTTTTTCACATTAGCTTATCAAAGTTACCTAACACGCTCATGTAACCCTCTCACCAAAGGCATTTCTCATTTTTCCTTACAACGCTATGATTACCATGGCTGGAGCGATTGAAATAGTAGGAGGGTAAACTAATCAGACGATCGGCTAAGTGTTTCGTTAGCATTATGCTAGATTCATACCTGTAGTCGCCCATGATCGTCACCGATAATCGACTGCAAATGCACAGGTGTGTGCCCACCACTCGCACGACCGACACCGAACACAAACTGAGTGTCGTAATTAAGTTTTCCTAAACGACGTAAAACAGTTAGATTTAATAGCTTGTATAAGATGTAGTGTCTTCCAAACCAATAGACTTCTAGTCTTGTGTGTCTTATGTCTTAGTCTTGTAGATCTTATCTTATAGAGCTATAGTGGAATGTCTTGAACAGGAATCATAGAAAATTCGTTACCATACAAATTCTGCGCTGTAGAATAAACCATGGTCATTGGTGGAATCTCTTCTTGAACTACTTGATCTTCAGGATCGGTAAGTTGACCACAAACTAATCCGGAAAAATCCCTCCCACATACCATAATGTCGGAAGACCGCCTTTGGCGATTAACGCCTGTAGCGACAACTTGGGAACGCTTAGCCTGGTCATCCCAAACTATGGAGAATTAACTGGATCCGAACTAAACAACACTCATGAAGAAGGAAATCCTCAAGCGGCACCTATATCCACACGGAAGTTCATGCATCTTTCTGGGTAATGGATGCAAAACAATGATGGAAATAGAAGTGCTGGAATCAGCACGATATATGTACACGGGTCATATAAATGTTGTACCTTGTATTCTAATCTCTTTCTATGTTCGTTCTCTTAGAAGACGCCTCATGTTGTGAGCCATTCTTTGTTACATTTTGAACAAAGAAGGACGCCATGGCCGCATAATGTGAGTTCGATTAATCAAAATTGAGAGCACAGATTCACCTTTGTAGTGATCATACTTGATTTCATGCAGAAGCCATGAGCTGAGTTGATTAAGAAGGCCCTCGCTGGATGTATTGAACGTTTCTTTTCGGTCTTGTAGATTAATACCATACATAAAGTTTCTAAAGTCTCTAAAGTTAGATTAAGGCTTCGATCACACAAAGTGTTTCAGTGAATCACCGTGAAGGCAGCATGTAGAATACGGTTGTTAGACCAGCCTGACTCATTTCACAGGAGTAACACGGAACATAAAAGCAGAAAACGTGAACGGATAATTTGTAGGATTAAAAGAGTGGAAGTAGCTCCCACCTCAAACGGCACACCTCGTTCAACATAGGTTTGTATGACTCGAATGTTTCCGAAGCCTTGAAAATTTTCGTCGTCACAACTGAAATTGATATTCGGTTTAACACTTAGGCGACGGTGTGACTTCTATAAGAGTCATATGGTGCGAATATGATGGTCGCTTTAAACATTGAATCAACATATATCAGCTCGTAATGAATTTCATGATGTAGAGTAAAAACCATTAGAATCTACATATCTCTGCCTACAGAATAAAAGTGCTTGGGTTTTACCGTGTTGAAATCCTCAATTTAAAAAGCTTTGTGCGACAGAATCAGCCGAAAAGATCCATCACATATGGCTCATCTAGGCCAAATTGCCCGAAAACGCGTGCACCACATATGAGTCACTGCGCCATTAATGGAGTTTATTACATATAGAGCTATTTATTTTCTTTGAAAGTCCAAGGTAGATTAGCTGGGCATTTTTGTCTTGTCAAGACAGGCAGTCGCCCACCGGTGTGGATTACAGGAAGATAACCTACTTTGTGCTAAGTTGTCAATACAGCGTGAATCCTGGTATTGGACTACTCTTAGAAATATTTTTAGATGGGATATTTTATTGTATCTCATCGTAGAAGAGATTGCTTAGAGGTCAATGCGTGATCTATGTCGTTATCCTTCCACACGAGTGTGAAGCCACTCCAGCTATTGGTTATTTTACCGAGTAAAGGTATCGCTTATGTTGAAGTACTACTGTACACAGGCTACCAGTGATATCACGTGATAATTTACCATTCAGCATTTTTTCTTGAGTTTATGCAAGGAAAGAAATTTAACCTCTGTTTTTGACGAAGCAAACTTTTGTTTGTGCAACGCACGCTAACCTTTTTTTGTTGTATTCAGTACGACGAAGGGCAGCATTTGCCAAATGGAACGTGGAGATCTGCTCAATATCTTTGAACTCGTTGGTGTGTAGATGCGTAGGAACGTCTCGCCAGAACACTCTATCGATGGCTGCAGCATCGTATTCCCCACTTTCGCCCGATGAGTTGCTCAATCTGAAACTTCTTGAACATCGGTAATGGAAAGTGTTATCATTTGACCAAGGTTTACAAAACCCATCAAATTTTGTGAGTGGTGAACCCTTGTTAGTGGAATCTCGCAGGATGGCAAATGTGATTTGTTTGACCAACTAGACTGTATCGTTAATCTGATCTGCTTACTTGGATACCTGTTCGGCCCTTCCTCATCCGTTGTGCGGGCCTCGGCATTATCTCCATTTTTTCGGAGCTTTGCTGGTTTAGCCATTTTGGTTCGCTAGAGTCCCGAAGTCAGCCAGGCCAGTCTGCCCTAATTCGTCACCACCACAGGAAGTCGTTGCCATCGTGGATCATAGAGAGACTCGCCACCATGAGACTAGTTTGATACTAGAACGGTGGTCCTGGCATTGGTTTACTCTTAGCTGTGTTCCCTGACGGAAGCGCCGAACTCCTGCTCAGCTTGGGAGGCCCTGCCGCAAGATGGAAGAATTACCCTGCTCTACATCGCAGCCCGACACCCCGTAACACCTCTCAACCACGATGAGGCGGTAAACCGTTGGGAGGCATAAATCTGATCTCCAATAACAAATCACGAGCATCATTTGTTTGATTCTGAGCACATCACCATTAACTATTAAGTGTCGCAATTTTGTAGTATGAACGAAACTTTTAAAATAAGCTAGAATATCATTAGGAGATTAGGTGGTATGAATCTGAGAATAGGCAACACGATGAATGGTGGTAAAGCTTGCCCTTTTTTAACTCTCCAGTAAAAGTTATTTAACTTAGATTTGTGTCGGTTTCCTTTTACTGAATCTTTTTTTCATGTTTTCTTCGTATCATAATGAAATAGAATTCTTGGTGAGGTTTACGTGCCTCATCGAGTAGCTTTCATTTTTGCTCATTTCCTACTTTTTCTAGTGCCCATATGCTCATCAAGTGCACAGTATGACATACTATGTGTTAAGAAGACGGTCTAAAGCGCATTTTTGATAATTTAAAAAATAAATGCGCAATTTTCTATAGTTAAGACAATAAAATAAACATAAGCTTTCCTGATATTCCTTTTTATCCAAAAAACAAACTGGACCGTACATCACCCTCATTACAACTGTCACATGTGACTCCAGCGAACACCACTGAAATTCTGATTTACTCGCAGCACGCAAGAACTGCTCAGTGGGCACCGCGGTCGAGAAACAAGGAGTGGCGATTAAATTGTATTGCTTTTGGTAGTACGGTATCCAGAGATAATATACGAAGCTTGTAGGACTTCGATATCCTCATGGGTAATCACAGTGGTTTTATAAAAAATGGAATCTGCATGCATACAGGAATACTCATACATGTATGCATGATACGATTTGTACATGCAAAGGATAAAATTCATTAGGGTACGCATAGGAGACCCATCTCCTGAGTCTAGTCTTGTCTAAAGTGCGCAACGTGTTCCCATTTGGTTCACATTTAATTCTCAATTCACCATATGAGGACGGAAGCGCATTTTCTTAATTAACCATTCCATGATCTATTAACTAGAGAATCATGAGACTCACAGATACTTGATACTTGAACGACCCGTCCTCATTGGTTGTGCGAATCGCAACATAATCACCATTTTTCGGAGATTTGCTGGTTAAGGAATTGTGGTTCCCTGGAATCCCGAGGTTAGTCTGGCCAAAGCCTACTCAAGGTCGTCACCACCACAGGCAATCTCCGTCCTTGTGGATCTGAGGAAGATTTGCCATTACGCGACTAGTTTGATACTAGGACGATGGTGGATCCTGGTATTCGTTTACACTTAGGCTCCTCCCAGCGGTTTACCGCCTCGTGGTGGCTGGGAGGTGTTCCTGGGTGGCGGACTGCGATGTACAGCGGGAGGATTCGTGCCCCTGGTAGGGTCTCCCAAGCTTAGCTAAGAGTAAACTAATACTAGGATCCACCACCGTCCTGGTATCAAAGTCGCACGGTGGCAAATCTCCCTCCGATCTATAAGGACTGCGATTACCCGTGGTGGTGACGACCTGGGGCACACTTTGGCCAGGCTGACCTCGGGATTCCAGGGAACCACAGTGGCTTAACCAGCAAATCTCCGAAAAATGGAGATTGTGCTGGGGCCGGTACAACCAGTGAAAACGGGCCATTCAAGTAACAAGTAAGTTAGCTAGGCTTCCTGATGGAAATGCCGGAGCCGGCGACGGAGTTTGGGGGCGAATCGCCCCATTGTACATCGCAGGCCAACACCCATGAGCACCTCCCAGCCACGATGAGGCAGTAAACCGTTAGAAGGGTACTCACACACTCACAGATATGCACACTTAATATTTGGTACCTTCGTACATTACGTGGAAGATTCGTAAGTTTCAATTGCAGTTTGAACTGCCAGTTGGCGGAGGTGCAATCTAATTTGAGCAGTTCTCCTTCAGAAAGACGAAGATACCGAGTAAAGAAGCTCAGCTCGACCGCAAATTCAGGCGTATTGTTGCAATTTCATCAAGTCCATTCAAAAATGTGCTATCAAAATGTTTAGTGGCAATTGAGAGTGACTCGTAAACAATGGGACTTACTGTGGCTAAGGCCAACGTTTTTCAAAATCAGCACCAAGCAATATTACTTTTAGAAAGGAAGTCATATTCGTTTGTTCGTAAACCTTATTCCTCAGTATGAGTTCCAGCGCCTTTATTGTCGGCATCCTCATAACTGCTTCGTTCACATTGCAGAAAAAATGACCTCGTTGCAAGAAACGGTGCAGGCGTTTTATCTTTTTTGCAACAAAATAGCTATGAGCCGCAGTTCTCATTGTTCGAAATCGATAGATTCTCGAATTGTTTTTGTACCGTTGAATAGCGATAGAAGGCTTTGCTCAGAATCACACAACAGTTTAAAGTAATTTAGCAAAACACTTTTTCTGGAATGGGAAAAGATTCATTTGCATTAAATAGCAAAATCAACTAAAGGATAAAGATAAACTTTGCTATAATTGTTGATTGTTGATGTTAATAATTGGATGCTATAACTAATAAAGATTGAAGAAAATAAAGCTCTCGACGTCGATCAATCCCTGGGGGATGCGTCATACATTCGACTTCATTAAGCATCGTTTAGAGGTGATTAAATGCATATCTGGTCTTTACAATCACTTGCAGGGGTTAGGGATGTATCGAGCCAGTGCTGCTATCGTCCCAAACAAATTTGGTAGCAATTTGCCGACGCCGGAGAGTTGGAAGGCTTGGTGGGCCATGTGCGCGGAGATTGATCCCGTGTGTATCGCAGGGCACCTCCGACCACTGCGCCATACGCTCTCGCTATAACTAATATTACAAGTAGTACGTAGAGTTTCCGGTACCATTGAACATGTTCTGACCTAATCTTGACAAATTATAACATACTAAGCGGCAGTTGCCTGGGAGGAAGTTCTCAGTAAGTCTTTTTTTATATGCTTCTTGTGAAATTTTCCAAATAATTAAGAAAATACTTGCCTACTTTTTAACAAAGGGATTATTTTGACCTGCTTGAAGAGATCCCTGCAATAATTCTTATTTGTAAATTCTACCTGTTTCAAAAAAAACGCTATAGGTCTAAGCACAAAACGCACTCCTTGGCGACCGTGCTTTCGTCCTTTTCAAATGTGAACGAAGTGCTATCATCCTTCAACGGAAAGAGATGTGATAGATAAGTGACCGCTCGAGGAAGAAATTCAATATCGACATCGAGTACTATAAGGCTAACATTCTTCGATAGTCGTCGATTGAAAAGAAAAAACCTTGCTAACATCCTCGATCTCGGCAGAAATGCGTCCAAGACAAGAGGCATTTTCAGCTCGAGCACAAAATGTCAGTGATATTTTTCTTCTGTTATAAAAGTGTCTCATATTCGATTAATAGTTGTTCTCTTAACAAGTGAACGCGAGTCTCTAGAAAAAAGCATGATGTCAGTAGCGTAGAAAGGATTGACTTTGTATGTCACTTAGTTTCGTGTGAAAAGTAAAGCCGTTTTGCTTACATGGACTAGCTGAGCCTTTCTTAGAACTTCGGTTCAGAGGTGTTGTGCTCTTACTCATCGCCAAAAGCCCGAACGGAAACTGATGGTTATTTGCGGGTTGTACAACCCCATGTTGGCGTAGAGCTCAAGATTTCTTGCAGGCAAGCATCTCCTAGAGATATTCATACCATCTTCTTTTTCATCACTACCGAGAGGCGTGCATACGCTCACTTACTGCATATGTCAGAATTTGAACTGTTATCAAAACAAAAACTTCCCAGTATATTGAGATCCACAAATGTTCTGAGGATACATACGCAATGGAAAAATCTGCAGTCTCAACCAGCATACGCTTTCAGCTTATGGGAAACTTTCTTCAGTAATGAAATTGAAAATGGAAGAAATACCATGGAAAATCTCTTGGTGTTGCTTGGCACAGGTAGCACAAAAAGATAGGTATGCAACCAACCATCCAACGTGAATCATTCATTAAAGAATGGTGAAAAACTGAATGCGTACAATTGGTTATCTTAATCAATCGCAACTTCCGAACAAAGCTGCCGAATAATAATTGGTTTAGTTAGACACGTTTTCACCACAGGCAATCAAAGTGCAAAAAAAGATAACAACGGCGAGACTGCAAAGGCCATATAAATACACTCAAAACAAATAAGATATGAGATAGTGGTTTTTAAAACAACAACAGAGTTATACGACAAAGGACCTTTTCCTAGATATCTGCTGAACTGGAACCAAGGATGGTCAAGCATTTTACACCTCAAGCACAAGAGCTCACTCGAGCTCTACGATCGTACATAGATCGTTCCGTTGCTGCGCGCGTCTCTGAGAGACAATGCATTCATCGTCAATGATGAGCGAGAAATTGTCAACTGATGCACCAGGAAGCAAACCCAACGGCACCGAGCACCACTGTTCTGGATCGCACATAACGAAACAGTCTTCGCCAGATCCACCACCTGTGGTTGACATCGTGGCACGATCTATAATAACAGAGTTGTGAATAGAATAGTATGTAGCCCTTATCTTACACTAGAACTAGAGCCTGCACCATAAATATATGAAAACATTCTGAATAACAAAGTGCTAGTTGCTGATTCATGAGAATGTACAATGTTGTTCGGAAACTAGACGAAAATGCATTCAATCACCTCCAACGATACTTAACGAAGTTGAATGCATGGCGCGTCCCTCAGGGATTGATCAACGCCAAAGACTTTATTCAGCTTTTTCACACAATAGTACTTTCAAAGTGGATGAAAAACTGTGGAGCGTAGAAGTCCAAGATAGAAACTGTAGATCGGTTACCTTTTCGAATAAGTCGCTGAAGATCTTCGAGTGTTCGAACACTCATTGAGTCATCGACTTCGTTCAGAGATTCAGAGAGTGAAATATTCATGATACGTCGCACTTGACGACGTCGTTTTTCACATAAATTTGGTAGTTTTGCCATCACTCTGGAAACTTAAAAATCTTTTCACAAAGAGTTTAAATAACTCAACCTTCAAATAACCCCGTGCTTATAAATGTGTAAATATATTGGAAACTAAATATGCAAATATATTGAACTAAACACTCAAGAAGGACAAAAAATGGTCAGCAATACGGAACTATAAAGATGGCTCATCTAGCGGTTTTTGAAGGACGGAAAACAGCAAGATTCTAATGGCTTTTATTTCAGCTAACAAAATCCAGTGTAAATGTAAATTGAAGCACGACAGTGGCCACTATTTTGATTAGAATCAATGCAAGCCTTTCGTCGTGTATTAAAAATTTAAATAGCTTAGACTGAAAACTAACGATTCGATCAATGAAACGTCAAAATATCCAGTCGAAGCCACCAACTTGTGCAGGATCCTAGACCAATCCGACGTGGTAATTAATTCATCTTCGGCTAAATTAAACGTATATAAGCTATTTTTTGTTCCATTCTGTACAACTATACAAATGCAAAACTGCTTCAGGGATTACATGATTACCGCACTTTCAATACACGGTTCGAGAAAGAACTTTGTCCACGCGACCAACTGCAACTCAACATGTGGAGGGTTCTCGTTTAGGGAAAGCCTGCTCAGAAGCTGCAAAAATTACGGACTTTAAAATATATGGTCAACTCAATTTTTTACATACATAAAGCATGAAGAAGAAAACTCTTGGCGTCGATCAATCTGTGAAGGGATGCGTCATGGATGCAATGCCAACAAGCATCGTTTAGGTAATTGAATACATATCTGGGCCACATAGACAATGAATTGCGATAGGCTACCAATGCAACAAGTTAGTGCTTTTATTGTTGTAGACAAGTTTAGTGTGAGTCTGCTGATACTGAAAGGATGCAGGGCTTAGCACGTCACTGGATCGAACCAAAGACCATGTGCATATTTCAGGACACCTCTAATTGTTGTGCTAACAGGGTTAAATAGAAGAACAGATTATACTCAGTTATTCCAGGAACAGATAACAAGTACCGAAAACACAAGATAAATGGAAAATGGAAGAGCAGATAATGCCTGGAGTTCTAGGAGATTTGATAAATCGGCATTGAAGAATCTAACTTTAGTGGAACTACGCTCTTCTATCGGTATTTACTTTGTTACTTCTGTTTCGACTACAACAATGACGTGACATACATTAATAATCAGCTCACTGACGACCTTGGCTTCGTAAATGATGACGAACACTGGCTTCCAGTAGATCTGCAAAGCGACTGGAACAGTCCAACCTAAAACAGTGAAATCACTAAAAGGGCAAAATCCATGTAGCCCATAGGATGTGATGTAGGAAATAAAAATTATCCCCCTTCACCTGACTCTCTAACACCAACCTTGTTTAACAGAAAAGCCTGAAAAGTCCAGTTGTCCTTCGGTCATTACCAAGCAACTATCACCGACAAAAATTCGAAGAAAATCACTGAAACGAAAAGACGCGATTTAGCGAAAACCTACAGCACGTTCCTCATAAACAATTTTTTTTCAAGATAAAAAGTAGAAAACCGACCACCCATCCTTCTTCCTCCTCTGAGCACCTCCGTTCCTACTATGACATGCAATTCGTAACGAAGATTTTCTACTCCAAAACTTTTTTGTTCCAAAATGCTCACAGTGAACCCAAAATTTCTATGGGAACCACGAAATACAGGCAATGTCCGTAACTCACATGACATGCTTTCAAAAATAAAAGAATCTGCACAGCCACAACTGAAGTTATATACATTCGCAGGTAATACCACCTGGTCTTTGTTATATAACTTGTGCCGACTATGCAAAAACGTCCGGAAACCTCCAAACGAATGTCCTATCAACACTGGTGGCCCATAAACCGTAAAAACTCTATTTCAATACGTTAGCAACGGTACCATGAATATTCAGGTTTCCCATAAATTTAGAACCCTTAGAAAAAGGTTTTTATTACCAAAGCAAGATAGGGATAGTGCAACAGCGCTCGTAGAAGTTGTTTATCGCCAGAATGCATTGGATAATGAGGTCGACCAAATGAGACGAAAAGGGTGCACACATTAATAGAAAATTTCTGGGAAGCTTTCGTTTTGTTGATGACATCACCATCTTGCCAAATAGTACCAGTGAAGCAGATGAGATGATCAGAAAGTTTAATAGAGTGTGAAAGGGATAGGTCTAAACACAAATTCGAGAAAACCTAAACCCATACCTCTATGCAGCATAACTTGATGTTGATGATTTTTTGACTACACTACATTTTTTGACCAGTTTTTGACTACTGCTTTATCCTACATGGTTTAAAAGTGTTTAGTAAACATGGAAAACAGCATGGAGAACGAATTCCACTGAAGGAGGACAGCACCACGGTCCTCAATCGATACTCAATTAAAGTACCTAAAAATTCATTGCTCCATTTTTTGACTTATTCTTCTACTACTAAGCAGGAAAAACGTAGCCGACAATGTATGTTACACTTTGGAAAACGTTTCAGTATTCAAGATGTAAAGAGAAGTACTTCAGTAGCAGAATGTAGATGGGCAAGCCATAAGTCGTGGTACTAGGGAGATGGTTCTGGAAGTTCCTCAGCTAATAATGCCTACTCGAGAATAGCTCGACTACAATCCTATGATAAGGACGTCTAGGTCAGCAAACTTCTCTACTGTTTAACTTTCGGACAGACAAGAAATATAGAACACAATTCGAGTCTCACATTACAGCTTTGTCGATAGGCAGCTACTATGTATAACAATGAAAATCAATAATGAAGACATACAACGGTTGCTGCATGATGAAGCGCATCAATTCGACCACGGCGCGTTCATTTTGGATCGAATCCGACATATTCTGAACATAAAAAACTTTTACAATAGCGCAAGAAGCTGTGGAAATAAGCTTCTTCAGTGGAAGGACTTTATCACAATAGGTTTAACGCTCATCATTAGCACTTAGCATTCAGCATTTTATCTCCATTGTGGTTCTATGGAAAAGCAAGAGTTGACAACTTAATAGCATTAACAACATTTATTTGATACGTCAGATATAGATCAGATGTTACGGACAAATTTTTCAGGATTATTTTTATTTGACTCTCTGCTATGCATTAAGTTAAGATTTTCTCTGAGAACACAAATAGTGACGTCCTGGAGAGATTTTGAAACTCATGGGAAATCCTAATTTCGTTTTTTTTCTTTCTCTGAAGTTGTCAAATATTTTAGATCAGAACTGTAGGAACGTAGTTACCGACTCATCCGATATGAACGATAAGTGCGAACGAAGGGTCTCGCATAGTGTTGTGGATAGCACGCGAACACTGTAAAGGGTAATCGCGGGTTGGAAGCCCAACTGAGTTTCCGAGTTTTCCTCATATCTCAGAAATCTTCTGGTTGTATATCACGTAACACTCTACGATAAAAAAGAATAGACAGTAAATAAAAGTCAGACAGTCCTCATTCAATTAACTGTTGAAAAGTGACATGTAAATAGTATAGCTTTCGTGCTTGAAATTCTTTGTCTAAATGCTGGGAGAAACTCGTTGCTTTGACAACGAGGCGTTGGCAAGTGAATGCATCGACAGTACTGTGAACGATTCCACAATGCTTCATAAAGAGTGGTTTTGAATAATGAACAAAATAAAAAACAACAAGGTAATATAAAAGGTGTCTATAACACTCCTTCCTATCGCAAACAAAAAACAATTTTGAAAACCACTGGTCCATTTGTTTAGTAGATTTACGAAATATTAGCTATTGCATAGTTATCGACCAATTTTATGGTCAATCAGCTCTCCTGGGTTGGCAAATTAGTATCGGACTTTTCTGGGAAAAATCACTCTATGAAATCCAATTGGGAACGCTCCAACTTGGCTATCTCAGGACTCCAGGGAGAATTACTCGACCAGCATTCTACGACATTCAAAATGAAATGAAAATCTTCAAGTAGCAACCGAACCCACACGTAAAGTTGAAAGATCTTCGTAGACAATGGATGCGAGGAAACGAAATGAGTGTGAGAAATGCTGGGATCCGCACAGTAGACGTGAAGATTCGTCAAGTAAAATAAAATAAGATAAAAAATAGTTATAGACCTATTGCTTAAAACTTCCTCTTGTTCCTCGTACTCCATAGCCCAACGAACGAAACGATCATAGAGAGTGACGAACAAGTAGAATCCATTATACGAATCCCGGAGTTTCTAATAACGACGAAGATTACACACAAAATTATATTGGATTATTCAGTACGAAATGTCAGGTTAGTCTTCATTGTAAGATCTAAACTGCAATAGCACTGCCAAGATTCCTTCTATGAATCAAAACAGAAACCATTACAATAAGCACGCCTCTGCCAATGGTTTAGAAATTTATTCTACTGGGTCAGGCAGCTGAGGGACACACGTTGATTTGTTTAATTCCTGCATTACTGTAGGTGAAATTCCTCTACTTTCCACATTTCCTCGAATGAATGGTAGAGTTTGATGTAATCCAATACCGAAGTTAATAGAAAGCCAATCCTGGGGAATATCGATTACAATGTCCAAAAAACCAATCTTTCCAGTTTTTTTCCTTTTTTTGGAACCTGAGCTTCTTTTGATCCTCAAGGTTTAGCGCACATAGACGAAGGTCACATCTTCTGGTGTACACGTGTTTATTTCTTATCCGAGAAACGTTGACAAGATAGCATTTCTTTTTTTAAGGAGAAAAAAAATATTTTAGGACGTCTTTTTCCGCCACTATCAGCGACGATCTCTTGCGAAAAGTACCACACAGATGACGAGAGTATTAAAGGCATCTCTGCTACATCAATACAAATTCACAAACAAAGGTGCCTTCATTTGCTTTCACTACCAAAAAACCCACTCGAAAAAAGAACAGCTGTCCACGTCTTGTACGAATTCCATGACAGACTTCGCATTAACTGCGACATTGATCAACACCTCGTTTATCCTTCATTATCGAAGAAGTAAGTGTAGCTATAAAACGATGCTTAAGAATGGCAGGTCTAGTCTAGAGGAATCGGTAGCGATAACTGAAATACCACCCGATGTTCTTCGTCGTCACTTAATAACCGCCTATATGACCTTTTATGCGAAACATGACGCTGCGTAATTTGCCCTTACGGTAGTGACGGTGACTGTATGAGTTCAGGTACAATATATCTGATCTCTTGTAATACTTGCGGAGACGAATATATTGGCGAAACGGGTAGACCATTCTGTGTCCGCTTAAAAGAACACCTAGATGGCAAACGAAAAGTGAGACTGAGTACCTCATTAGGGACCCACAGGATACAAAAACATAGCAGAGACGATTTTGACATAAAAGTCGCTATCCTCGCAAAGGGTGCCGAAACACCAACGCGCAAACTTCTAGATGCTTTTTGGATAAATAATAGAAGCGCTAGAATGAATACCAGGTATGCCCGGAGATCACGCATGATCACACCCCGTACCTTTGCATCGACTTTTGATGTGGGGTGGTTCATCGACCATGATCAGCTGTTCTTCCTCAGTGGAAGACATGTAATAAACAGTGGGTTTTTAGCTATTGATCGTATGCTTGCGATTTAGATTTCATCTTTTTGTTTTTGTTATTGAAGAGTTTGGCGTAGAAAACTCCCTATCAATAAACCGTTCCAGGCTCTGAAGAAGGCGATACTGCGGAAACGTGTTTTAACGGAATAAAGAATAAAGTAACACCTCGTGTTAGCTCAACAAGAACATCGAAAACCAGCTCTCTATATAAAAATTTACGCTGTTCCGTAGTACGGCGTACGAGGCAATTGCATTAAGGATTTTCTGATCACGAATAGACGCTTCAGCTGTGACCATTTCGCTCTTCGTGTCAACAGCGCCAGCTGATCGCAATGCCTCATATGGCTGATGCGTCCAAAAATGGTCCTGACGTGATATAGTTAAAAACAGTAATGCTACTACTTTCAAAAATCTCATGTAGGTCATTGCACTCACCCAAATCCATTGCCGACAAAACCGAAACGCCGTCCTGAGCGTTCCGATTGGAGGTACATGAGAATGCGAAGCATTGTGTCGTATTTCTACTAGCCAACTGGGTATTCCAAGCTGTAATAGGTAGAACAATAAAGAGACATTTTATTTGCTGTCTATTATTACTTCTTCATGGAAGGATATAATGTGAAATATCAACATTATGATGCTGCGATATTTGCAAAACTGGACCCCAAGTCAGATCGAACCATGACTGCCCTTTTTGAGGACTCATGTTCCACCCATAGCACCGCCGAGGCCCTTGCTCTGTCACTGTCTATCCAAAGACTTAATAAATGACGACTTTGGTTGCGCGGGATCGTGCTGATAGCATAGTTATGGCCAAGTGACGACATAAAGCTCTTTGAAACCAATATAATAGAATTAGTGCGAAATATTTCACACCAATATACACACCAATATTATTAGGCTGTAAGACATGACATGTCCGATTTCAAATGTGAATTTTAAATAACCATAACTCTTAACCCTTTTATTTACTGCCTTTTTCTTTTTAATGGCAGGGTATGTTGCGAAATATAACTCGTATATAATGCTGAGATATTTGCAAAACTCCGGACCGCAGGTGTATGCGGTGTGGAACGAACACGCGCTGTTGCCCTTACCGGGGAGCAGCGCACTTCACCACCGCACCATCCGGGTCCTTCGTTTTGTCTGTCTCTCAGCTAGTTCCATCGATCCTTTTGCCATCAGCAATCACCCATCAACGGGATTGATCTGGGGAGCCCAAATCGGTATTGAACCCAGGCCCAGAGTTTTGCAAATATCTCAGCATTATATACGAACCATAACTCTTTTCATACTGAATCTTATTAATAGAAATATAAACGATTAAAACCAGTACAATTTTTCCAACAGCAAATCTATTTGTTCCAGTTGCATAAAATTCTGGAGTTCTGGAAGCGATGAATTCGTTGCAGGCATTTTTTGCGTCATCGTGGTTGGTGAACCACTTCTCGCCCAGGAAGTTCTCAAGGTACTCGAAGAAGTGAAAGTCGGTAGGCGAGAGGTCTGGTGAATATGGCGTGTGAGGTAAAGTTTCGTAGCCCAACTCATTCAACTTCTGCAGCGCTGGTTCTGCAACGTGAGGCTGGACGTTTTCGCGAAGAATTGGTGAGCAACCATTGAGCTGAATCACAATTCGATGAAGAAAAGGGTCGCGTTTGTTGTGCAGAATGAAGGCAGACGACACTTGAAAACAGCTTTTTTATTATCGTTTAATTCATGTGGCACCCACTTGTCTAGTTTTTTTTTGTCTTTTTATGCCATTCAAGTGGGTGGAAATTTTACACCATGCTGGTCTTCAAGCTCTCAAACAGTTGTTCTCGTGTTTGATTCCACTGGTGTCTTCAATTCGTTTTCGTCAAGTTCATTGGGACGTCCGCGATCTTCCAACTTCGAGGTCGAAATCACCAGATCGGAATATCCTAAACCATTTTTGCATTGTTGATTCACCAACACCACCTTCATCTTAAACATGACGATCTTCCGAGCTCCTGCCACGGCATTATGTCCACCCTTCCGGACGTACAAAAAGACGAATATCATGTTGATTCATACAAAAGCAAAAGCTTATAAAACGTTAAAATAACAAATATTGAAAAAAACCAATACTAGGAATAGAAGAAGCAGACTTTGTGCTTCAAAAATTTGGATTAAATAAATATATATATATATATATATATATATATATATAGAAAATTTCAAATCGAACAAAAAAGTTCAAAAAATTACACGAAACTTAAAGCAATAAAATCGGACATTTCATATGTTACAGCATAATATTTTATTGCAAGTGCAGTAGAACAAATTTAGAATAATACCACAGGTTCTATATAGCTCAAACCTACAGACATTTACAAACGAAGTAGTACTGTATAATATACATGTGTATATATGCACATATACCTTCCAATGGTTTACCACCTCATCGTAGGTGGGATGTGTTCCTTAGTGCAGGGCTGCGATGTACAGTGGGAGATGCGTCCCCTAGCAAGGTCTTCCAAACCAAGAAAGAATCCAGCGTTTCCTTCAGGAAGCCCAGTTAACAGTAAACTAATACCAGGTTCCACCGTCATCAAGCAAACCAATTAAGTAAGGAGTAAGGATGCCTCATTCGAGGAGATGGCTCACTGAAGAAGACCTGACTCGACACGAAAGGGAAGCTGCCACGTCGAGACGAATAACAAGCGGGGACCATCGACTCGGACCATCGGCTCTGAGGAAGACGAAGACGTCGGAACGTTAGCCGAAAATAAACATCATTAACAATCTACTGTAAGCTCATCAAAGAAAGAATACAAACCAATTAATTTAAAGAAGTGTTGATATACGCACAATATGTCATCTTGGGTCGCGTGAATATTTACGTCGATACTTGGACAGCCCGCTTTCGCGAGTTATGTAGAATCGAGCACATTTTCCATTCTTTTCTCTGCCTCGAAATCTTCGTCCATCGTGGTGCTTTGATTCGAGCATGGTGGTGGATGCGAGTCTCATACTGTTACCTGTAAAACAATAGCAGCCGCGAGCACAGCTGTTTCTTTAGTTGCGAGTTCACTGGACAGTTCTTTTCGCCCATCTTTCGTTTCGATTCTTTTTTCGAATCTTTCGATTTTCTTCTGATGACCACCTCATTCATGCTTTGCTATCGATGTGTATCCTGTTAGGTTTCAAAGATGAGCCAGATTTTGTAGATTAGAGCTTCGCTTTCCAGCTATGTGTCGCGTGTGTCGGTTATATCACAGAAAACATCGTTCAAGTGCTCTGCAGGTTTTGTGCAGTAATATGAGCCCACGTCTCTGCTGCGTAACAGAGCGCTGGAAGGACTTATGAATCGAAAAGGTGAGGGCCGATTTTCGGGTCTTTTAGTTCGTCAGTGGCTTCCTTGTGAGGCCTGAATGCCGTCCAAGCTGCTCCCGTTCTTCTGTCCAATTCCTCCTTTATGTTGTTCTCCATGTTCATTGGACACTCAAGGCATATATACGAGTTGGTCTCTGTTATCAGCGAACCATTCAGTTCGATTAGCTCATACTCATAGCTCATCGTACCATAGGTTCTTCATAAACTGTCCTACTCACGCGCTACTTCGTTGAGTTCACTGAGCATCGTATCTGCTTCGCTGGTACTTCTCGTGAATATGACGACGTCGTGGACGAAGGCAAAATTTGCTAGGAATTTCCCATCAATACGAATGCCTTCCTCATCTCAATCGAGTAGCTTCGTTATCCACTTCAGTGCCGCACTAAACAGTTTTGGCGATATTCTGTCGTCTCGTCCAAAGTCTTTTCACGTGGGAATGGTAAAAGGACGATGGGAAAGTGGAAAAGTAGTTTCTTGGCGAAATTCCGACGACATTAAGATAGAGTTCTTTTGCAGGGTGGGTCCTTGGTCGACGAGCGTTGGTAGGATTTCATTCATTTAGACGCTGTCAAACGCTTATTCGTAGTCGACAAAACCCAGGGCTACAAGCAGGTGATACCTTCGATGGACCCTTTATATAGTTCGGATGTGATCCATGCAGCAAAATCCCTAAAGAAATCCCGCTTGCTCAACTGGTTATGCCTGATCCAATGTCTTTCATATGAGTGACAGGACAATCTTCGTGAAGAGCTTGTAGAATACACTCAGAAAGCATATCGGACGACAGTTACGAAGATTACCTTTCTTGCTCATGATGCTCGGGCGTGATGCTCTCCACTGATCTGAAATTTTTTCCTTTTGAAAATAGGATACCATACGAATTGCGAGAAGTGCATGTAAATTGTGGTGTTCAACTCCAAGGAAAACGGCGGTAATTTTTATCGAATCACGGAGCTGTAGAGCTGTTCCTTTTTATGCTTTCCATCTCAGCTTCAGCTTCAGAGGGAAGAATTTCACACAACAAAAATACGAAGAATTACTTGATCAATGCCGAGGTTAATAGAAAGTCGGTCGTGGGAATTTCACAAAGTTTTGTCCGCCGGAGACTGAAGAGGAGATTGTGCTACGAGAGAGGTCGATGCAAAACATTTTCGTTATCAATTTGACATCATGGTTTGAATTTTTAACAGTCCCATCTTCGTTCATTAGGACCAACGACAGAACATTATACTCACAAAGGTCTGGACGGCATTTCCTGGGACTGGTTCTTTTTTGTGTTGCTTCTAACAGTTTCTTCTACCTGGACGTACCGATGCAGATCTTTCTGCAAAACTCTTCTGCAAAAGGCATTTATTACTAGCCGTGTTAAGCATGTTTGCAGCAGGATCAAGCTTCAGTACGCTTCCTTTTTCGACCAACTGTGGTAATGGAGGTGCGATCCGATCTTCTGCCTTGGAGAACTGTGGTAATTCGGCACACTCTTTCAGTCTATCGACAAGCAGCTCGTAGTCTTCGAAATGGTCTTCTTTAATTTGTCAGTCACCTTCGGACAGGAATTCGTCCAGAGTGCTTTAGTCATATATAGCTGGATTTTTTCTTCTTGGTCGATGACATGAACCATTTTCTAGCTTACGACTAAACCGAATCCTCGCGCGAAAACGGCGAACAATATCAAGAAATCGAAAAAGACGATGAAGACGTCGAAACAGTAGCCAAAAAACTGCTCATCAACCTCGCGTCAGCCTATCAATGAAAGAATACATGTTGACTAGTCATACAAAAGTTAAAGGAAAGTCGGTTTTGAAATATTTCCTCCAGTTGGCCCTTCCTATTCTGGCGTTGAAGCCTCCGACAACAAATTTACAACACGCATTATCATTGCGGATAACTTCCTCCAACTGATAGTAGAACGTATCCAATTCGTATTCATTAGCTGCATCGGTCGATGAGTAGCAACTGGTGATTACGATGTTCCTAGGTGTGTCAGTAGAAGACGGAGGACGGCTAAGCCAGGGGAGAGAATCTCGGAAGAGTCGACGAGAAGGACAAAGGACGTGTGGACAACAAAGCCTGCACCACCGGTATTTCGCAACATGAAAACAACATGAAAGATCATATTTAAGCTGCAGGTTCTTTGTTAAACTGAACAGGAAAATTAAGGAAAAAAAAATCGAGGAAAACGAAACAGACAAAAAAGATGAGAAGATGAAGCATTTCGGAGCGCATCACTTAACCACTACACTACATGCGGCGATAGACCATCATGTGAAAAACAAGATATAACAATTAGACATTTCGGGTATTTTTTTCCCATCAGGCTTGTAACTTCAGCGAAAAGATTTACAAAAAAAGAATCAATTCAGCGAAGATTTTCAACCTTCTCGTCTTACTACTAAATCAGCTTTCACCATTTCCTCATCGCTGTTATAACAACTTATTTGTTGGTAATTCTTGTCATATTAGCTTAGAGGAATGGTAAATTTAGTGCGAAGAACGAGAATAAGAGACTGGAATTCCAATAAACCTTCTACATTGCCGCACTATAAATGACGTAGTGTTCAAACTTTCACTCCGACCTCTCACTTATGTAAACTAGGAATACTACAAGCGTGAAAAAACAACAAAAATAAATGTTAGAAAAACAAGATTTCTACGCTGCTTGCCTTTAATAACAGTAAAAGATTATTACTTACCATTACTACATTACCCATCACCATGTCTACTCTGCAGATCACAGCAATTCTTGAACTCGATTCGTTTTCCTCGCAATCATCCTCTACAGAAGTTTTAGAAAATTTTGTGCGTCGTTTCGGACGCTGTTGGAGGATGTGCCGAGCGAAGGCGATCCAGGGCAGAGCTTGCGAAGGGGGTTGAAGCAGCAACACCTTGCTTCCTTATGGGCTGCATCAACCATCACCTCCCAATACTGTACACTCAATAGTGAAGGACTGCAGCTGATAAAGTATAGTTTAACGATGATCAATTCCTAACGGATGTCCTACATATTTGGTTCATTCGTAAATGTGATCTGCTGCATATATAACCTACATAATGATTTTCACTCCGTGCGCTGATGTAAATAAGTGTTTCCATGCTCTCAAACAAATCTAGGATAAATCTGACGACCCCATGAAAATGGAGGCTTGGTTTCCTAAATGCGCAATCGAATCAAAGACCACGAAGACTGGACACCTCTGATCACTGCGCTACCGAATTGCAATAATGTGAGAACGAATCGGTGATCCCACCTGTTGCACTGCCTTCGCAATTGACGTTTGACGTGGGCACTGACAGATTTCATTGACATAGTTGATGAACCTGAACTAATAGAAAAACAATTCAACGTCTTAACCTTTTCGAAACGAAACTGGTGCAGACCATTTATCGACGATTAGAGTATTTCAGGAGCTCAGAACCTTACCGACTTAAAGAAGCTTCCCTCTACCACATTAAGCGTATATATAATTTTAATACGGTGTCTACTAAGATTCAAACATATTTCAAATCAGGTTTAAATTTCGAACTGAAACTCAAAAATTACCAAATTGATACTCTTAGAATCCCGACGGAACAGTAGCAACTGGAAACGTAAGCAATACACAAGAAGATATTGTGTTGGAATTCCACTTGTTCTTTACTTCTGTTTTCGAAGCAAAAGCTTTGAAACGCTAAAGTGGAAGAAATATATATATAACGAGCTCCAAAAAATCAGAATTTCATCGTGGAAAAACACAGCACTGCTTCATTCTGTAGATAAAGATTTGCGTATTCTAACAGTTTTCATCGTAATTGATCAAATTTGCTATAAGATCAGTTTGAGTTAAATAAGAAAACGGCCATTATCTCCAGGTCGTGTGCCTCCTATGGAGTCAACGTCGTCGCGTGAGCGTTGGTAGAGTGGTGGCACAGAATAAGACAATAGAAAAAAAGCTATTGGTATATCTAGTCCAAACAACATCCCGGTAGATTACCCATTCATTTGTTTACCTCATTTCAGTCATCCAACTGTTGTGAACTCTTCTCCTCACAATAGGAACACCTTATATGGCCTTAGACTTAACCACTTGACAAGCGGCATACCTCAGAACAATATGAAAATGACGAACGTGGCTCACGCAGTTCTCTCTCTTCTGCACAATTCCTCTGTAGGTAACGATGTAGGATGATGTCTGTGTAGTTATAGAAACATCAACCTCGATTTTTATCACATCATCCTACGGGTTCTCTTCCGATTTGTGCCAAGTCCTATCCCTTTCGCGGTCCATTAAAGTTTTTAGGCATATCATCTTCTTCACCAATACTATTCATAAAAATGACGAAGTTGTCGGGAAAAAGAAAGTTTGCCAGTTATTTTCCAAGAATGCGTATACCGTTTCGTTTATATTGATTGATATTCATTGCTTCCACTGATTTCATTGGTCCGCTCACTACACAGTTTTTTTTTCCGCCTCTGCCAAGGGTTACAACAAAGGGTAAATGATATACTCAATAGACTTTTACCATGCTATTCACAGTTTGGATGTGGAGCATTTTATTGCTGTGCTGTTTGTAATAGTTTCCACTGTCTGTATCGTCGTATAACCCAAGATGGTTTGTATTTCACTTCACTCTGCTTCCAAAATTCCCGATCTTGTAGTAAGTTTATTCTATCTAGCATTAATGTCTCTAACAAAAAACTTATACAGAGACTTTTCGTTGGGAATCTCTAATCATAGTACGCATGTTATTTCCTTTATTCACCTGCACAGGCTGCAGGTCTCGTATGAGGTGCGATCAATAATGGAAGTAACAAAGCTCGCAGAGACATTTTCTTGAGGGGATCTTCTTTTCACGGATAATTAAATCCCCGTCTTTTAACTGATTTATGTCGTCTTCCTCGCACTTAATCTCTTTTAGAGAAATGACGTGAAATTTGATGTGAATGTGGAAATGAGATTTGATTACCTCTGTCCAATGATGTAGAGAATTTGCCCAGCGTGCAAGGTGTTACTGCTCGTATTGCTCGTTGAGCTGTTTTCTTTCATGTAGAATCCGAATGCTAATTTGCTGAGCCTTTCCCACCGCAGGCAGCCATCAGCTGTTGTCGATCGCATGAATGTTCGCCGCCTTGAAACCAGGGTTTCTATCTAGGCGCTATCAGTTCTCTAGCGTTCATTAACTCTTCAACAGACCAATGGATGGAAAATACAAACTCTTTCACATTGATACAACTCTGTTCACTACAATTCGTTGCCAAGTAACACCCACTTGCTATTACGAGGCGATTAAGCACTGAAGAAAATGGAAATGTGATAGAAAGATGGTTTGCGCCAACCGAAACTGAACGCGACCTGAAGTGATTCCGAGTACAAAATATATATTGGGAATGATAGTCAAGCTACGTGAAAGTGAATGAATCTCATCACAGTTAAACTCAGTGAGTCACAGTGGGTACTTTCTTGCTAATGATAGTACTTACTTACTTGGATACTTGGACACTCGGTCTTCACGAGCTGTGCGGACCCCAGCACATATGCCATTCCTTCCTTTCTCTCGCAAACGTAGTCCATGGTGGTGATCTTGTTCGAACATGGTAGCGCCTGCGAGTCTCATACCATGGTCTGTAAAACAACTGCAGCTGCAGATACAGCTGATTAACTTTGTTTACGAACACGTCCGCCCAACGTGTAGGTGGTCGTCCTAGGGCACGTTTGCATTCTTTTGGAGTCTACTGTTCTTTTCGTCCATCTATCGTCTGTTCTTCTCATTATGTGTCCGGCACATCGATGTTTTGTTGTCGATGTATATTGTCCTGGATCTGACAGATGTGACAGATTTCGAAGGTCAGAGCTTCACATCCCGGATTCATATTGAGAGTGCCGGTTGTATTTCAAAAGACATCGCTCAGGCGCTCTGTGAGTAGTTCGAAGCATTCTTGACGTAGTTGAATTATCAACTCACGTCTCTGAAGCATAACAGAGCGCTGGGAAGACCGTAGAATCAAAGAGATGAGCGCGGATTTTTAGGTCTTTCAGCTGGTCGGTGGCTTCTTTGAGAGGCTCGAATGCATCCCAAACTGCTCTCCTTCTTCTATATAGTTCCTCCTTCATGTTACTTTCCACGTTCATTGAACGCCCAAGGTAAACGTACAAGGTGGTCTCTGCAATGAGAGAGCCATCCAATTCAATTTTTTCGCCTTTGCACCGTGGGTTTTTCATGAACTGGGTCTTGCTTCGATTTATGCGAAGTCCGATCTTTTTCCCCGCTTCGTTGAGCTCGTTGATCATCACCTCTGCTTCGCTAGTACTCCTTGAAAAGATGACAATGTCGTCGGCAAAACGAAAATAGGAATTTTCCACCAATACGTATGCCTTTCTCGTCCCAATCGAATGACTTCATTATCCACTGAAGTGCGGCACTGAATAGCTTTGGCGATATTGTGCCGCTCTGTCGAACCCCTTTCCCTATGGATATTGTAAGACGTCGATGGAAAAGCTGTATTTCCGTAGTGCAGTACCGATAACAGTCGGACAGAGTCCTTATGTAGCACGGAACCACTCCTTGGTCGACGAGCGCTGAGAGGATGGCACTCGTTTCGACACTGTCAAACGCTCTATCATAGTCGACAAAGGTTAGGACTAGAGGCAAGGGCTATTCCCGACAAACTTCGATGACCCTGGACACGGTTTGGATGTGGTCCATGCAGCAAAATCCTTTTCGAAATCCTGCTTGTGCCTCATCCAATGCCTTTGATATGCGCGAGAGGATAATCTTCGTGCAGAGCTTGTAGAGTAAACTTAGAAAGCATAAGAAGCGATAGTTACGAAGATCCCTTCGGTCTCCTTTCTTGGGCAGGATGACCGTGCGCAACGTCTTCCACTGGTCTAGGATTTTTTCTTTTGAAGGTAGTCTGTCATATGATCTGCGAGAAGTGCATGTAAATTGTGGCCTTCAGCTCTAAGGAAATCGGCAGGGATATTGTCTGGTCCTGGTGCTGTGCCTCTTTCCATGCTTTCTATCGCAATTGGAACCTCCAACGGAAGAACTTTTTTTCTCTGCTGCTTCCAGTATTTGCTACTACTTGCACCGTTGTAGATCTTCCTGCAAAGTTCATCTGCAGCTGGCATTTATTACCAGCCATGTTAAACGTGTTGTAGCAGGATCAAACTTCAGTTTCCTTCTCTTTTCGAGCAACTCCTTAGTTGTGGTGGAGATGCGATCCGATCTCCTTGCTTGAGGAATTGAGGCAAATTCGATACAGCTCTCCAGTCATTCGACAAGCAGCTCGTAGTCTTCGGTCGGGTCTTCTTTAATCTGCCAGTCACGTTTGGACAAGACTTCGTTCAGAATATTCTCGTCGTATACAGCTAGACTTTTTCCTCGTGGTCGATGAAGAGAGTTCTTTTCCAGTTTGCGGCTGAATCGAATTTTCGCGTGAAGAAGGCGGTGATCGAAACCAGTACAGAATGACAAGACTACCGATCTGTCAAGTAGGCACCATCTCCTGTTTGTCAGAATATGGTCGATCTCCGCATGAGACACGCCGTTGAGAGACTCCCATGTCCAGCAGCGACTTTCTTCCTTCTGGAAGAACGAGTTTCCATGGAAGAGACGTGCTGCTGACGGGAGTCCTTCGAGACGGTTCCCATTCTCATTTTTTTCTCCTAATCAAAAATTTTCGATCTTGTATTAGCTCTCGTCGGCCTTCCCTATTCTGGCGTTGAAGTCCTAGAGAACAAATCTATGATACGCTTTATCATTGCTGATGACTTCCCCCAACTGATAGTAGAACGCATTTAATTCGTACTTATCAGCTGCGTCGGTGGATGAGTAGCAGTTGAAGATAGCGATCTTCCTATGATGCGACAGTTGAAGAGGGAGGACGACTATGCGAGAGGAAGGGATCTCGTATGAGTCGACTCGACGAGATGGGCAGTGGAATGGTGAACGACAAAGCCTTCGCCACCGATATTTCGTGACGGGATTTTTTCTCCACGGATCAGAAGGGTCCCGTTGTTTAGTTGGCGTATGTCGGTCTTGTTGATTTTTGTTTCTTGTAATGCGATCACATGAAATTTAATGCGATCTGCAGTTAGAAGGGCGTGAAGTTAGGCTTCTGCGGAGAGTGTTCTGGCATTATGCGTGCATGGTAAGAAACAGTCTCCATGGCGTGTCGTGCGTGTGTTCGTCAGATTCGGTTCCAATGGGGTCCTGCGTAACCTGGGATTTTCTGGCCTCTCAACGGTCGTCTCACCGCCTGACGTCATAGACGGGAGCATCCAGTGTGCGGGGTACTGAGGCTGGCGTATTGCTAGTCGTGCAACTTGGTCCTCCTGGAGTCCTGTCGTAACCTTGCAAGGGCGTGTCGAGGTCTTCACCACGATGTGGATCAGAGGGAGGTGTGTTTTCGGTGACGAATCCTTCGCTCGCTCTTCCTACTAGTTGATTCGGATAGATGTTAAAACGGAAATCGGAAACGAAAGCAGGAATATAAAAGTAACCGACCGCTCAAGGACGATGTAGAAGCCGAATCCGGTAACGATAGTAAGGAAAGGAACTATTACTTTTAATGTTCGCTGCATTCCTTTTCAATGGGACGTGAAAAAACTAATCAGTAATTGGTGGTATTGCGAGTTAAAAAAAGGTATACGAAAGTTTTTTCCAATATGAGGTGATCTTGATTCCATCATGTACCTGAGATTAACATCCCCACTGTTCTTCAACCTCCTCGCTCTTATTTTTGTTTAGAATATCATGAGTCATTATGGGAAATGACCTAGGGTTCATAAATAAAACGACAATGAGGCTAATTCCTTGTTATATACAATGGTCCTATTAAATTCAATACTAATAAAGTGATTTCTCGCTTGGGAGTTCCAGTAAGTCCTCTATTACGTAATTTTTTTTATCCATTAAAAGTTGTATAAACACTATTTCACTATTTCAACTGCAAATTCGTCTCTGTGTACGCTTTTCTTAATGATGTCCTCATATTTTTAAATTCTAACTTTAACTGGTAAAAGAGCATACTTTGGCACGCTCAAATAACTATCAAATTGTAAAATAAGGCCAGGATAACGCAGGACACTCACAGCTCTCATCACCACGGACGCAGCCGGCAAATTCCCACACTGCGCCGTTTTGAAGCAATTGCCCTAAATCCTGAATTGCCCTCACCCAACCCGTAAACGATTGTTTGTCACTCTTTGTCATGCTAAGTCACAAATATCGAACGACTTTACACGGCCTCATCATACGTTACCTTCCCACAACAACATCGTCATTCATTAACTATGACATTACCCCTGTTTTCTTTCTTACCAGCTACCTCGTGTTGGCCTAGTAATTCGAGAAAACTACCCGGTTTAATGAAACTTCAGTCCCAATAACGAGAGCTTTTCCATCAAGTGCACTCGGTAACGGTGACCAAGAATTTTCCATTGATATCACTATTACAATCACATTATCACTGATTCGTAAAAAATGATGGCAACTTTCGATTTTCGTTAACGCTTCAAATTCAGGTTAGAAGAACATTTCTGTAACGACCAGAAAAAGTTATTCAATAGCTGATAGAAAATCTCGCCACTTTTTTTAGACGGTCCAGTTATTTCTCAGATCTTATATATAGCCTTCTCTGCACGATAATGAACGAAATCTTTTAACAGAGCTTATATAGAATTATTATGTCTACTTCTACGAAGATCGAAGATTGATGACTATGATGACCGTATGCAATCAATTTTGCGTCATATTTCCGTTAATTCCATTCTTAAGGCGTATGCTTTGATTCACTACTCCTAAGTAACGAAGTCTTTTTTTGACACGACCCATCCTGTGCGGATCTCACCACTTCTTGCATCCGCTTAGTTTCCTCACATCTTCCATCCACGAAGCTCTTCGCACTTTTTCTGCGTGTGGATTCTGCTGCGGCTTAAGGACTTTTTCATATTCTTCGCAAACGTCGTTAAATTCTGGTCGACTCGATTCTTTCTGAAATCCTGGGATAGCCGGGATAGAGCGCTCCCATCTGGGTTCCAAAGAATATAGTGTTCATAGAACAAATTTTCTAACCACGGAGGGATGAGAAGCTAGGTGAACCTATGAACAAAAACGAACTCTTTTTAATGAGTAATAAATCGTGAGGTGTTAGCAGATATTTAACTCCCAACTTTATCTTTATTTTTAGTAACCTATCGCATAAAATTATCATTATACATTAAAATCTGAATCTTAATGAAAAGAGTGAACAGTCACTTGTCGGCAAGATATATCACTTTTCATACAATCATAAATCTAAATATTCCTACAACTCAGATGTAAGTCCAATGGTGCGATTCACTTAATTTCCTATAGGGGACAACCACAACGCTGCATAATGGCTGATGAATGAACGATTTCTTTGCACTTTACTGACAAAAATTACTTGCCCATACGCCACCTCAATAATTTTCAAGAAACAAATTCGAATGACGAAGTTCAAGCCGTCACTTTAAAACGTCGCCCCGCGTGACCAGACATAGTACAATGATTTCTTACCTGATCTGAGTATGAATGACATCTAAAAAATCCTATAGTTCGTTTTTCTATGTTAAGCACACTATTAATAATGCTTTATTTGTCACAAAATTATCTATGTACCTTGATAGCATTTCAGCACGCTCCTCACAATACTCCAGTGCACACAAGTGAAAGGTAAATATTCGATTAAGCAGTGACCATTCTAAAGCGAAAACTCCGTTGTATGTGCATAACCAGCTGGCAGATTGCTTTCAATTACACCAAATTGAAACCATCGAGTGGTATTGACTTAAAATACTCGCATAATAGAAATGAGAAATTGCTGCAAACATGCACGTCAGTCACCCATAAACAAACGAATTCAACGAATCTCAGAAACCTCTCGTACACTGCAATGCGCTTTTCAATCGTCGAAAACTGTGTTACTGAATTTCTGACTATACCATATATACTGCTATAATACCTCGCTCTTAGCATGATTATCGTCAATCCTTAGAAAAACAAAGATTCTGGAAATCATATGACATTTTGGATTTATTGCTGAGTAGCGAAAACGCAGGGCTATCCACGTGATTTGAGTGAATGAGAAGGTCTTTATTGTCACTGCTTGCCTCATCATCTACCTAGCTGTCTCAAGCATCATTAAACTGCCGAATGCGTCCCCATACCAATCCCACTGAGAACTATTCACTCGCCAATACGTTTTTGAAAACTATACGAAATGTAGTGCTTCAGTATCTTATTGCATTGGATGGATATAGTTAGTACATAGACAATTATCCCTGCCACATTCGATTACAAGCGAGATGTACAATGAATATCTCGAAGTAAACATGATACGTACGACTAGTCAAACGCGTAGAAGCTCCACATATTCATTCAGTGTCATCGCCTATGATGAATCCTGTGCTATGGTACTTAGCCTGTCATGGACATTTCATCGAGTTCACCTCTTTACCATCATATTTTGTACATCGAATTAAGCATTCCTTCTGATAAACCATTTTCTGAAGAAGTATTGAAGATTGTTCCAGTTTCTACTTTTATTATAGCTTCCGAATGTTCGTAGTGGTTTTACAACAACGAACTCCATTTCTGTCTTTCTCCAAACTAGTTTCAATCTGTTCCATCGACATAACTATGGCATTGTTATTATTAGTGTCCCGCTGAGTTCAATGCGAGTCGAGTCCAAAGCATAGCCTCTATCTTGGCACACAACTACCAACAAGACATCAGAGTAGTGGAGAAATAATTCGAAATAAAAAGGATAAAGCATAAAGCTCTCGGCGTTGATCAATCTTTTAAGAATGCGCGATGCATTCGACATTATTAAGCTCGTTTGGAGGTGATTGAATGCATATTTGGCCTTTACAATTACTTGCAGTGGCCTACCAATGTATCGAGCCAGTGCTGCTATCCTCCCAGACAGGTCTGATACCAATTTGCTGACCCCAGAGGGATGGAAGGCTTGGTGGACCACGGGTGCGAGAATCTATCCGATGTGTTTTGCACGGCGCCTCCAACGACTGCGCCACACGCGCCCTTATTCCAAATAAACAAGAAGAGGTCAAGAGAATACTTTATGGTCTATTCTTCCTGAAACAAGAAGATATCTTAGTTAAGGCTAACTGAAACTGGTTGCTCTTTGATGAAAAGCTTAAAAATCAATTGATTTGTTGTAAAATTTTCATTCTTGAGAATGATTATACTTGGCGTTTCGTTACAAACCAAAATTTTTCATTCGTTTTCCTCTTCTTCTATTTGACAATCTGGTACATTAATGCAAGGAAACAAGTAACGAATACAAGTGAGAATAAATTTTTGCTACATGCTCTCTAGTGCGGATTCTCTACCCCAAACATACTGGAAAGTTTTGCATTATCCCACTGGAAAACCGTCATTGAGGAATATGTGCACAGAAGAAAATTTTACTTTAACCCTTTAAAGGTGCAGAACGTTATCGCCTCAACAAATCTTTCAAGCGATCTCAAAAAAAGCCAGTGGCTTTCCAGCTTGTTGCATTACAAGCGGCCAACATATTTCAACTAAGGAATTGATTGCTTTACGCTTCAATTCTATCTGCAGTAACGTACCATATCGTACTTCATTGATTTCGGAAGCTATCGATCATGAAAATACTAAAACATTAAAAAAGTATTAAAATGGAGAATAAAAGTACTTAGGAAATATTTTCTTTACAGTACTGTTCTACATTCCCTTGAGAGTTAACCTCCCGACATTGACGAAGACGCGCTCTTGGGTGTCGTAGCAAAGCGAAGAATGTTAGAGAAGAGATAGTAAAAACCATTTCTTACTGACAGAGAGCCTGTTATGCTTTACTACGCCTAACTGAAGAAGCTCATTCCAGTATACCTGAGTGAAATAGGATAACCAATTTTTCAAACGTTCTTAACATACTTTATGGTCTATTCTTCCTGATACACTTACTACTGAACTTTCTTCGTTGAATTCAATGAGAAACTCCTTCAGAATAAGAAAGTCGTCGGCAAATGTTCAAGCCTTGTTTTTTTTTCAGGAATCATGTGCTAACGAATCGGATCCCAATGAATTGTGCTATATCAGCCTATAAGTCATGGTTTTTTTTCGTGAAAAAATCTTTCTCTTCTTGATTTTAAACAAAATATCACACTTAAACGTTAGCGCATTATTTAACAATGAGTAAACAAGTCTCTTGAAGCCATCAAAGCTATTCAAATAAGAAAGTTCCTACAGCTACCACTCCCTTTCGGAATTTCGATATAAAGGGATATATTTAAGAATTCCATTAAAGCTATGAGGTCAAGGCCACTTATTTAACATTGCTGATACTTCTAAAGGAAGGTTGATTCATGCCTTCTAAGATTATTCCCTTCAGATATTAGCAAATAATGCTTACAATGTCATTTCTCGATGTAGTAAAACATAAAGGTTGCCTTCTACTGGTCACACATTTTGAAACAAACATATTGTGTTTAAGATACCGTGCATAACATTAGCTCACAACTGCATATTTTCAATGCACTTTTTCCAGTTGCCGCACTGTGTTTAGCACCGATTTCACACGACATAAGCACAAATCCAACTTGTAATGGTCATACCGGACTTTCATCGTGGATCCCATCTATGGCGCCTCTTTTCCTCCTTCACTTTGCGCAATCACCACAATATTAAAACGAATGGGGAGCGAGAGATTAGATTAGTATGGAGGTGAATCGCATGTCTGCATAAGTGCCACAACGGGTGGACGTTCTCGTCGTCTCAACCATAGCCTTTTGCACCTTAGCCTTCATATCCTTAACTACTACCTATAATAAGAGACTACTGTCAATCTCACTGCCTCCTTCGAATTCTCAAAAATTTCCTAAATCCTCTTCTCTTTTGTAATTTCGCTATGACAAAATCTTGATTTCCGATAAGAAGCTTGAAGTTTCTTGAGTTGCAACATGAAACGAAAAACGTACCGTTTTCGGTTTCCTCGGAATTCCACTATTCCCAAATTTTACCACTTAATTTTTCAAATTTAAGTTTAATAGATCTAGATTATGCCCTCTAATAATTTGACACGCTTTTTATTCCTAAAACGCAATTTCTAACAGGGCTTTTTTTTGCTTCTTGGGTTATTCTTCTGAAATGCTGCAATTGGATTCTATAGGTCTTCCACTCTCACTCTAAAGTCAATTGTGATGCTCTGGTCCTATTCTTATGTCAATAATTCTCCTATCATCGTAAGATATATTTAGGAACCATGGAGACTTTACAATGATATAAAACGTTCAGTTCAGAAATCAAAATTGGATCCTAAAATCTCTCCGATCTTTGGACATCGAATTTTATACTAAACTTACTGAAACAAAAGATTTTTGCCTCTTCGAAATAAAAATATTCCAGATTCGACAGAAATTCTTATGTCAAGATGACTAGATTTCGACTTTTCATATTTCTGCTATTATTTCAAACGTGTCCAGAAGGTTAGTCAACTAAAAGTATACTAATTTCCGCCGTCAATGCTCACCAACGTTTAATCAACGGTTACTAATAAGATAAAGTAATGTACGCCGAATGAGTACGTAACAAGCAAAGCACTTATGGAAATGGCAACTAGAACTACAGGTTTTAACTTCTCATATGCTGAACTGAATGAATTACCGTCTATAACAGACGGTCAGTTTTTGTTCTTTCATTACAGTGATTAAGTCTTAGGTCAACACTACCAGACACCTAGCAAACATTGCTATCCTAAGAAAACCAATTTCAGTACAAAGAAATGGATACAATCTGAAATAGTTTTTCTGACGTATTTGAGGGCATTTTCAAAAAATAACTATTTCCTGCATAACCCTTAGTGCAGGATTTCTGAAACTTTGTGTTTAATCTTAGAACGCTCCTCACTGAGATACGCATAAAACTAAGTGTTAACGTTCGAGTTTCCCAGGACTAATATAGTAGGTAATAGTGGATCCTCTTCATCACTACTTTGAGTACTACTGCTTCAGCTCATCTTTCGTTCATAGCACTTCACGGTTAGATTAGAGCCCTGAGCTGCCTTTCTCCGCTTATCGAGTCATAATTGAACGTCTCCTCCAGCCGAAAAGCTGCGTCACATTTATATGCAAATCCAATCCAAACGCGTCTTTCACTGCGTTAAACGGAATTTTCAACATTTGTACACCTCGGCATATCGTGGAACACTGAATATGATAAACAGCGCCAGCAAGTCAATCGTGAAGCGAAAAGTCGATGGAGCAAAAGATAGGGAAAAACTGACGCTGGAGATTCCAATCTTAGTGGGGAATTTGAAAATACGGTATAATTCAAGTGATTTTAAAAATATGTACGGGATCCAGAATGGCCACTATGAGCAATGTAGCTCTTACTTTTACATCGTTTTATACTTAGGATCGATGAATAACATTTGCTGCTTGGAATAGTTAAGCATAAACATTGAGACAGAAGGAAATCAACACAGCAAAGTTGAAAAAACTCTATTCCAGAGCTTTTAAGAACGCTCTATTCATGCAAAGTGAAGGAGATATAGAGGGATTTTCTCATAACTATGGAAGTAAGTAGGGTTCTACTAGTGAAAAAAATTTGGACAAAATTAACAAAGATTTAATTTGAATAGTCACCTACTATAAGTGCACGCTCGGTAGCCCCTATGCGCAATTCCCTATTCCCTAGTCAACGAGAACTTTTGAGTGAAAGCACCTTGTAGGACTCCACAAGTATTTTTTAGTACCTCAATACCGATGATAAATGACTCTATATTTACGAAGATTATAGTCCCACACTCTTTCGTCAACGATGACAACCTATTACGCCAGTGGAATTGGCGGTAGCACGAGGCTACAGTCACTCTGGCATCGAGGAGTACACGCTCGGTCTCCGCAGTGCAATTAGATAACAGACCTTAGAGCAGAAGACGCTACATGAGCTACCCTAATATCCGTTTCAAGGTTGCCACTGTGTGTCTACATAAGAAAGAGTGAGAGAGAGGAGAGAAGAGAGAGAAAGAGAGAGAGAGACCGTCGTAATTATGGGAACTGTGAGCTGAGCGCTCTACAACGTTGAAATACTCCGTATGTTCTTGCTACTGTGAATAAAACAGTAATTAACACAAATATCATAAACTGGAGTTCCTCGAAAGGTTCTCAAGTGTGGAATGGTGGACTATCAGGCACTCTAGAAACTGTAAGGCAAGTAATGGTTCGATGTAAATCTAATTCCTTCATTGGTTACTGTCAAAAAACGAGCTCGAGTGAGCTTCTACCGTGATAACGCTCAAGCTCACATAGCTCTGACGCTTGACCTGGAGCCGGAGATTATAAACTGGAATCCCGACCACTGGAAAATGCCTTCACGGCAAACACTTCGAAAAACTCGATGACTTGGAGCAGAGCACGTCATCGACTCCTGGACGCGGTAGATTTTCTGCTTAACTGTTGTACTCAAATGATCGAATAACACAGTGGTTATACGGTAGATGAGATAAAGTCTTGTTCAGAAGGAAAAATATGTACAGGTGGAGATTGACTTCCAACAAACTAAATAAATATGACTCCGTTTTAAACAAAACTCTAGGAAACAGTATGTTTAAGAATCATGACACCGAATGTTTTGCTGCATTCTAGCGTTGAAAAAAAAACCGTTAAGGTCAAACAGAAATGTGGCATCCAAGAACTATTCCTAGTTTAAACAAAGCATTTCAGGCCTTTCTATAATTTGTTACGATTGTCACAGCGACCAAGGGACATGTAACGAAGGAGAGTGCGAAGGTTTGGTGTGTATCAAAATGGAGACGTCTAACAAGGATAACGGTATGTTAGGGAAATTCACCGAGTTTAAGGAGCAAATTTAATTCGACAAAAAGAAGAGAAAGAGACGTAAGAATAGCTAACGGCTTAAAAACTTGGGTAGGAGATAAAAGTAAATATAAAAAAATCATCTGACTCGTGTTTTAACTAGTATTCCTCATGGCGCTCAGTTAGTAAAATGAAATACATCTTCCGGAAACTTACAGATCGAAAAACGATTCAAAAGAGTTGTGGCGATGAGCTCGAGGAGGTTGCGTGCCAACAATCCGGATTTGGAAGCAAGTGGATGTCAAGATGCGTGTGCGACAGTCCACTATGCAACGGAGACCAGGTAAAATTGGGACAACGACAACATTCAGCTGACCTGATCTCACTTCGCATCAGCTCTACTTATATGTTAAATACCACTCAGAAGATTGGCTATTTACAAATGGAGATTCGAAAGGCTCAGATAAACGCTTACTGGTATATAAGTGAGAAATATTCACAGAAAACAACCGAAATATACAAACTTAATCAACCACGTAACCGTTTCCTTTTTGCAGTGATATTGCTCCATATGCTTTATTGAGTGTTCGGTTTGGGTTAACTGCTTTTCCCATGTATCGAAAAAAAGGTAATCAAGGGGGTTTCCGGAACTTGGAACTCCTGGATTCCATGTTCCTCATGATGAGGGTTTCACGTAACCTTCTCGACAGAATTGAAACTCGTTTCAGCACGAGAAAAGCACATTGTCCATTATTAACATAGAATGTTCTGACAGCACTACTGCATCCTGCTTAGGGGAGAGATCAAGATTACCCAGTGTATATCGCCTGTCTTCCAGTTGATCGCCGAGTGATTCGAGGGGGCGCCAGTAAATCCCCATTTTTCCCTGTGGTGTGCAAGAATACCCCAATGGGTTCTGCTCGCTCTAGGGACCAGTCGAGCATCATACTTTGGCTTTTCAAGAAGGACTATGACCATCGGTTATCCTGTGTATATACGAGCAATAATTGGTAAGAACAAATATCAGCGCCATTGTTTCCTTGTGTAACTAAGCAAAAATCTCTCAGCACGTAATTGGAATTAGTACGCCTGAATTCTGCTTAAATATCAAGACATATCCTTAGTGATCGTAAAGCTAAGAATAGGACACTGCGGCGTTCTCTGGTACAAAGTGATCCTTCTGATTTCTGTCCTGCAAAGAAAAAGAATCTACGTCAGTTTAGGACCAAAGTTAATATCTGCTATTCAGGCGCTTATCGATGCTGGTCTGGAACCTTCATCAGCAGCTCCACCACCAGCTCATTTCACGCAATTCGCCCTGCTCGTCGCAATTCTCGTATTCGTCGGAGCCAGTTGCTCACTGATTGTGATCGCCACCATTTGTGTCCAGTTCTGCTAGAACCAAGTACCCATTCCTCGCCAATTACGAGTAACTAGCATCAAAGTTTTATATTACCCCTATTATTTTTTTTATTCAATTTTTCTTTTTTCTCTTTTTCTCTTTTCAATCGTAATTACTACTACAATTTTCTACAGACTGTGAGGTTGTTACTGCTTAATCATTGTTAAACGATGATGAATGAAGATAAGTTCGTCGTTCATTGACTGTAACAGCAAATGTAAACAGGCATGAATAAAATATTGCTTAAGATCCTAATACTTGCCATGGAAAAATGATATGAGCACTCAATAAAGAGCTAAACATCGTCTAAAATCCTGTTCGAAAAGTTATGTACGTTCTAAGCATACGCCTGACTTGATGTCATTATGTTTACAAAATTACATCAGATTTAAATTCATTACCACCTCGTATATTGGTAGGTTAGAAAAAGAGCATCGCTTCTAAGTAACTTTTCGCATTAGGAAATCAACTGCATTATCCGCGTTATCGCTGATCGTTGAGTGACACCAGCACTTACCAGTAAAATTTCCATTCGTCTCTGTCGAGTGTCCCAGTTTATTTGAGTTCTAGTTACGATAGAAACGGATAATCACTTGTGTATTCAATAGGAAATCTTGCCAACCGTAACCTTCTTGCTCCGCCTTTGACATCAATTGGGACTTCATCACTAAGAAACCTCGTACACTGGATTTCATTAAATCCACATCAGCATGCTAGGATACCGACGTAGTTTTCGACAACATATCTATACATTTTCTTAGCAAGAAAATCGCAGAGTGAACACGTAGGCACGGTGTTGCGCTTTTGTCCCTCAAAGTAAATTCTCAGTTGCCTTATAAACTGGACCCTTACTTCTGTTCAGTTTTGAAGCTAAGCCGTTCATCATATCAACCTCCTGTATTATATGAGCAGTGCTTGAATAATCAGAATTTCTCGTTTCAGTGAGTGTAAATGGAACACGAGGAAGCGAAAGGTCAAGTCGAAGACCCGTATTTCCACATATGCTGTGGAATTATCCAGCATTTCTTCCTTCAAATTAATGCGTGATGTTAAACGAACGATATCGCTAGCAAAGCAAAAAATTAGTAGACGCTGCCCATCGACTTTCAATCCCACTACCGTTGCAGAACGGTGACATTCTGGTTGTGAAAATGACGCATAGCATATAAAGGATATCAATGCTCTGAGCAAATCCTCGTTCGTTGGGCGAAGTTCCCACTAATGTATGTTTGAATTTAATCGAACATCAAGTTCTTTGAATCCATGATTATTAAATAAGGTAGAATTTCGCAGTTTCATAATATCGCTTTCCCATTCAGTTTTCTTGTAGCGGATAAACTGGATAAATGAATAAATGGATAAATTATCCATGACGAATGCCTTTTGAAACCATTCCTACCCACATGACTGCCCTTTATCGGCTCTTATATTAACGATTGCGAAGACTCCAGTAGAAAGCTCGTAAACAACATAAAGCGGAGAGGTGAGCAATATCTGTCAAAATTACGTAGGCTTTTTTCCTTCGCTAACAACACGGTCTTGTTGATTCAGGAATGACTAGAAACTTTGAATTATAATTTGGTAACGTAAGGAAAGCACGGATGGTTTTCTGGAATACATACATATCCCATACAGAGGTTGTGGTGTGGCCAAATCTGGCGTTGGTGCTGAGCAGTATTTAGCCGACGAGATGTCAAGTCAGATTTCAGAAGGTAGAACGGCTTCAATGAAATATCCGCTTTTGGTACGAAATGAAAACAGATGGACGTGATTGCTGAAGAGGTCAAATGCACTGAATATTCATTTATACGCCAAACTTTCCTAATCTCTGGAACTTCAGCCGGTACTGGTGTTTTCTCACTAGTTCGTAACTTTATCACGTTCCAATGTATGGTAGTTTCATGAGTTCGATTTGTAACCTTTACTTTACGATATTCACTAATTCCTGCACAAAAGAGAGTCTTGAATGAAGAGAGCAACGATCCGATCACCTGTAGACCATTTAGGAGAACAGCAAAATCGATTTCGCAAGAACTTCTATCTATTACTACGTATTACATTTTGTTAGTCCATCTCGGGTTAGAAGTAGAGGTCTTCGTCATCACGACCATCTTTTGTCATTATCTTCACAGCATAATGTTGGATGGTAGGGGACGAATACTGTAAGGAACGGCTTCGCGCCAGTCCAACCATGCCGCATGTAACCGTTGAAGACTGCACGAAAAGGTCAAAAATTCGCGACTAACAAGCCATGACAGATCCCTTGCGGAGTAAGAATCACGAACATCGGAAAACAACATTTTTCTTCCTTATCATTCTTACCGTATTTCAAGCTCATCTTCGAATAAAAGGCATTGCCATTATTTTGGTGCACATACTACGGCTATCCTTACAGAAAGTAACAAAATTAGAACACAATTTCAAATAACTTCTTTTTCGAATGTTCATTTTGACATAGAGACTCTTTCAACAGTAACTTTTATATTGATTCGACAGAATATGCGCTAAATACCAAAACTTACAGGAAAAAAACAGCTTTTGGAAAAACTTTCCTCGTCAACATGAGCTCCATGGCGATCGCCCTCGATTTTTACTTACTGAGTAATATGGACAACGTTACCGATGAGGCAGCTACTATGATATTCCTGCTGGACAAATACAAATACCTACAACTACTTGCTTACCGTACTGTAAAGAGTGTTTGACACCGAAAATTGTTAACAATAAGGAAAGTTAGAATCACAATCTCAACCTTTTTATTTATTGCCTACTATAATTCTTAATGATAGGGTATCATGTGAAATACAACAAGATGATGCTGAGATATTTGCAAAACTCAGAAGCGCAGGTGTCTGCGGTTGGGAACGAACGCTCTGTTGTCCTTTCCGGAGAGTAACGCGTTCACCACCACACCATGCCGGCTCCTTCGTTTCGCATGTCTGTCAGCTAGTTCTATCGATAAGGAAAGTATTTTATGATTCTGAATCAGAGGAATTTGACGTATATGAAGTGGGCAAAATTATTCTCGCGTGTCGGCAGAAGAAAAGGTCAGCCTGCTTGATCGCCACGGAAATTAGGCTGTGTTCTTGAACATGCTAATTACTAAACAGGTTTGGCACTTTGTGTTCATAATATACACAATTCCCATTGCACATTTCGCACTAAATTCTTAACCTTATCAACATTTACTACAGGAGCGTGTAGCGCAGTGGCTAGATGTGTCCTGCAATACACGTGCGATCATTGGTTCGATCGCTCGCCCCGGTCTCAGCACGTCGTCGATCCTTTTAGGGTCGACTAATTGGTACCAGATTTGTCTAGGAGGACAGCAACACTGAATTGATATATTGGTAGGCCATGGAAAATCACTGTCGAGGTCACGTTTACATTTAATCATCTCCAACGATTTTTCACGAAATGAAGACGAATCGATGATGCAACACTCAAGCGCCGAGAGCTGTGTCCATTTAGCTTTATTTATTAACGTAGATTAGGCTAAGAAACCGTGGATACAACATACAGTAAGACAGATTTCTAAATTTTCGCGAAAAATATGGAAGCGCAAAGGTGGATAAGGCTAGCGACAACCAGCTACCATCCAGAATGACTGCTTGAAGCTATTTGATTAAAACTGATGAAATGAAAACAGTTTGAGATTAACAAAGCATAAGTGAAACAAAATTGTCGAAAATCAACCAAATACTAAAGTCAGGAAAGAAAAACAAGAAAGAAATTTCGATAAATGGGCCCTACATGGAGTGGCATTTCACAGAAACCAGTATGTTAGGAAAATTTAATGCTATGTCACATAGCAATAAATCGCTTATACAAAATTAAACTTGGCCGGAAAAGGTAACACCGCTTTCGTTCCCCACCGCAGACACCTGCGGTCCGGAGTTTTGCGAATATCTCAGCATCATTGAGGTTAAACTTGGAGTTTCAACGATATTATTAAGTGAGAGAACACCTGCATACCCTATCTTTGATCAAACATGATATTAGAATCGAACAGAAGCACTATTGCCGTTTCGATGGCTGTTTGGAAAACTGCACTAAACGATTCTCAAAGCAGAAATCCAATGTGATCTCCCATATCGTAATTAATTTTACTTAAGTTTAATTATAGGGACGCACGTGGCACAGTGGTCGGAGGCGGTCTGCAATACACATGGGATCGATCCCAGCGCCCCAGGCTCACCAAGCCTTCCATCCCTCCAGGGTCGGCAAATTGGTAGCAGACTTCTCTCGGAGGATAGCAGCATTGGCTCGATACATCGGTAGGCCACCGCGAGTCATTGTAAAGCCCAGATATGCATTCAAGCACCTCCAACGATGCTTAGTGAAGTCGGATGTGTGGCGAATCCCTCATGGACTGACCAACGCTAAGAGCCCAATCCTTTATCGTTTTGAAGTTTAACAATGACTTCACTCAATGGTTCCTATGTAGAACGTAAAAAAGGTTTTAAAACGAGCATTGCGTAAACACTTTCACTATTTATAGCAAGCAATAGGAAAAAAGCAATTGGCAAGCATTTGCGCATCGTCCATATTTAACAAGAAGTAAGCTGACCTGATGATTGCGATGCAGTGTTGCATCTTGAGCTCCTCCATCTTCATCCATTGATTAGAATCATTGGTAATTCTCAGCTCAGCTATTGCAAGTCGCACCAACAAATCCGACATGGATATTGCAACTGGTATGCTATTCCCCATCCTTAATTGTAAAAAAATGTAAAAAATAAGTTGTATAAGTACTTAACAACAGTTGCAGTCTATTTTAAAGGCTTACCTACTGTTCCACATGGATAAAATGGCCAGACATTCTTCCAATTCCTCAAGGTTCTCGCTTTGAAACAATGCACGTACACGATTCCATTCCACACTGTAACTTATCGGTTGGTAGTAAAAGTAGTGCTAGGAGTAGCCAGAATAACGGAATACAGGAGCCATAAGCCCAGAGCTGATCAGAACCAATGTAAAGCAAGCTTCACTTTCGAAGATTTAAACGAAAGACTTATGTTCCGTACAAAAACCATTCGTGCAATTCGATCCTATCAACACACTGAGTAATTTGGGAAGTCAGCCTCTCTTAATACTTACTGCATGCGCAAATCCTACATTACTCGTTAAACCGCACCACGACGGCTGATGAGCTCCTGGACCACACTTTGAACAATTCAACCCAGCCATTCTTATGAAGCCAAAACTTTTCCACTGAATTTTCTACACTTAGTCGCAAATTCTCCTTCCTCTTTTGAATTCCTTTAGCAGCAAAAAAAAGTAAGACGTAACAAACCAACGCAGTATACGGGACGCGGTAGCACGCACTACTCATCTCACAAGCCACGGACCACCAATTCTAGTCCTGAAGTTTATGCATTGTTCTTGATGCACAAGACAGTCTAAATTATGATGGTATTTCCTACTGAAGCAGTTATAAAATGATTCATATAAGGGTCTGAATACCTTTTCTTCAGACTGCTTTAACTTTACTTGAAAGAATCGTCAATGGACATGACTTAGCACTTTTCGGAGCAATATTCGAAAAATAAAGAGGAAGTGACCTTCAACCCAACTTTTTATTCTAATACTTGAAACAACAGCGATAATCTGGTCCAATAATTATTGCTAGGAGCAAAGATACACAATATATGTAGTAACGATTTCGTACCTTTCACAGAAAGTTAAGATTATGAGAAACACTAGAGGCCTAGGATTCCTTTATAAGTTTGCTTTCGAACAATTCAAAGGAATCTCAACTGTTAACCAAGTGATGATTAAGGAAATGGTCTGAAACAATACACTTACAAAAAGAAAACGTTATAAAGTCATGAATAAAGCACGCGAAATGTTACTTATGGCTTTTCATTCAATACGATTTTCTTAATATACATGTACGGAGTACGTACTGACGCTATAAGTCCTCTCCTATGTACAATTGGAGAAGTGGGTCCGTATCTGCAATGAAGAAGATGATAAAAACACTACACGCGGAAAAGCGAAAAAACAAAATCTAATACGCCGTCTTTTATAAAGATTACTTGATACTTGAATGCCCCGTCCTCACTGGTTGTGCGGGCTCCAGTATGATCTCCATTTTTCCGAGATTTGCTGGTTAAGCCATCATGGTTCTAAGGAGTCCCGAGGCAAAAGTCTGTCCCAGGTCTTCACCACCATAGGCAATCACAGCCCTTGTGGATTAGATGGAGATTTGCCACCATACGGCTTTGATACCGTGACGATGGTGGATCCTGGTATTACTTTACTCTTAACTAAGCTTCCTGATGGAAACGCCAGACTCCTCAGCTTGAGAGACCCTGCCAGGGGATGAATCCCGCGCTATACATCGCAGTCCGGAACCCAGGAACACCCCCCAGCCACGATTAGGCAGTAAACCGCTGAGAGTTTATAAAGATTATCTAGTTAGAAACAACAAGCACACTTTGAAGGAATTTGAAGCAGAAAATAAGTGAGCGGTACGATGCTAGTAACAACTAAATCTGTTAAAACTGGATGAGAGACAGGCGAAACGAAGGACCTGCATTGTGTGGTCATGAACGCATTAGCCCCCGGAAATGGTAATAGCGCGTTCGTTCCTCACCGCAGACACCTGCGGTTCTGAGTTTTGCAAATATCTCAGTATCATTATCGTTGTACCTTACACAATACCCTGCTGTGAAAAATTATAGCAATAAACAAAAAATAGAAAATAAAAAGTTAACATAAATGATTACCTGCGAAACTTTCAACATCAACGTAACATACCGTAGTGGGACGCCATCTAAATCGAGCATTGCTCCCCCAAACGATCGAAGGATTGCATCGCCCGCACATGTATCCCACTTTTTTATTGCCGTTTGATGAATGTACAATTCTACATTCAAAACATTTCGAATAGAGTTATGGTAAAGAGTTTTCAAAATACAGCTGGAGGACAAACCTGCGGTACCGTTTAGTAATCGTAGCACCTTATAACCGCTCCCTCCAGCTGATTCAACTTCATACGCTTCTCCGAAAGATCTTCGGACTAGATTCTCAACATCACCTGCGTGAGATCTATAAATCTCAGGATAGTGAAGCCATTGTTGAATGTAAGGCCCAAAAATAGTAAAAATCGGGGTTAACGTACCGTGACACCACTACTTTCTTAGCGGTATCTTTCCGATTTACAGGAATAATCATTCCTCCTGATGATGTCATCACACCCCAGCCTTTTACACCCACCACTAAAAGGAAACTTTAGTACAGGCGGATAAAAATACAAATTAATGATATAATAGGAAAAGTGTAATCTCATGTATAAACAAATTGTGGCAACATTATAGGCCATTAAAAAACCTCTTGGTTTATCTGCTGACGAAAACAAATACTCAGAAACTTCTTTAACACTTTTATGAAAACCATGCCTCGGTGTTGACATTCACAATAACAGGAATTGACATATATATATATATGTATATATATGTATATTATATGTAATACATATATACTATATATACATGATGCATATATATACACCTCACTGGAATGAGAAACATTTCTAAAACAGAGAATGTAGAAATACTAGAGGTTCTTACCTATTTCATTCGAGAACGGCCTAAAAATGGCACCAAAAATGGGTTCATCTTTGACTACAACACATGCCATTACCGTAACATAATCAGTCAGCCCCTCTAAACATGTCGATACTTTTATTACTACCGTTTTTCGAGGAATAAGAGAAACTACCAATACCAGTATATTCCTGAGTGGCGTCAAGCGGATCAATATACACCTGAACATCAGAAAGACTAAGGCGACGCGACGGAATATTGGCAAGTACGCCTTCTACAGATAACCACATTGAATAGGAATCTGCCTGATATGGAGCAACGTCTGACTCCGAAACAGAAGTATCTTTCTCCTCCGTCACAATCTAGAGCGCATCATTATTGACTCCACAATGTTATAAATACCCTTCTGATTAAAAAAAGATGACGGAAAATTTTATAAAATGCAACCTTCAGTTTTGGGAAACGCTTTAGTACATCCAGAATGAGAAAATTCGACACCAAATCTGCTTTTGTTAAAAATTCTGCCTTTCCTTCATCAGTCAATCCTTTTTCAGAAATGTATAGTGCTGCAACAAGTTAGGATACAGTAGAATTTCTTTTGAAAGGATCAAAACTGTACCGTTTTCTTCGTGTATTTTCCGAACCGCATATCCACCAATCTCCACCGCTAAGACCGTATAACTGAAAGTGTCAAATAACTATGGGATATGTACAACAGTCCAGACACGAACTACTCCGTTTTTTCACATTTCTGGGTTTAACTAATAATAACACGGCTGAGAGAAAGGCGAAACGAAGGACCCACATGGTGTGGTCGTGCACGCGTTAGGCCCCGGAACGGTTAGTAGCGTGTTCGTTCCCCACAGCAAACACCTGCGATCCGGAGTTTTGCAAATATCTCAGCGTCATTGTGGTTGTACCACATATAATACATCACAATTCAGCTTCATTATGGTTATATTTCACATACTCTGCCGTTAAAAATTATAATAATGCACTATTTACGTCTAATGGAAAGCGATAAGTTTTGCAAGTAAAATATCTAATTAGGGAACCATTTTCACATAAACTTAACAACATAGTGGGAAGAATGCAATTACAACATCCACGACCAACTTTCTATTAACCTCAGTATTGATCAAATAATTGGATAAACAGTCAAATAATAATAATGAATGATAAATAATAATAATAATAACAATAATAATTACAGTCAACTAGATAATTTGAAAATATTAGATAATTATAAGCAATTCAACTACAATAAATCAAAAACCACGTTTCTGCATTTAAATTTACCAAAATGTTACACCGAATTCTTTTGACTTACAATTTTCAAGAAACTGAGAATGGAACTCGAACTGTTGGAAAGTTCCACCCAAACGTGCAGCAAAAAATATGCTCAGAAAAATCACTTTTATTAAATCCTTTCAATGTTTGAATACGAGACCTTGCAAAAAAAATCGCAAAAAAAACATATATGAGCTCAACTAACCAGAACTTAATCGTGTTAGAATAATAAAAGCGGTATCCAGTATCCAAATATTCGACCCTAAGGACCTAAGGATTTTGATCTCGACGAAGTTTTCTGCTTGATTGAAGTTAGAAGGGCGAATAATTTCTTGCACCAATTATTCGAAGTCAACTCATATCTTTTTCAATGTGTTGAAAAAAGCTCCCAAAATAGATGGGCTAAAGCTGTAAGACTCAAATTCGAATCATAATCGCCTTCTCATCAACACCGTAGCTTACTGGTAAATTTGACAATGTGAAGAAAAACTATAGTCGACGGTGAATATGCAGATTAACGAACTTATTAGCTCCGTACCATATCCTACCATGCCCACTGGAAGAACAGCACTAATAATCCAAATAAAACGGATAGCAATGGAAGTCTTCCAGTCTATTTGCATAATGGTACGAAAGCGATGACATTTGTTGCCCCATTGCGACAAACTCAATGACCGTGCTCTATAAACTTGTAATGATGGTGACAGTCCTAAAGTGCATATTTAAACACTTAAGTGAACGTAACCTAGATAAAAAGCTGGATTTCATAATGTATTTATCTGAATGGATTGCACAAACATGATACATTTCTCGTTGACCATTATTTTAATTGGCAAATGAATACGACATGGCGACAGAATCGACTGTTCCTTGTGGTGCGTGAAGTCACTCGACTAGGAAGTCAGAAGGATATGTGTTGACGGACCACTCCTCTTATGTCTTCGCCTTGCCGGCGCCATTATCGTCTTGTCGAGCAGTACTTCAGAAGCAAAGCCAACAGATTATCTCGCACGGATCATCAATTGAGGCCATATCCTGCGTATACATAGAACGTTCAATGAATATGAGTATCGACATGAAAGAAGAACCCACTGCAAAACAACGAAGATGGGCGACGCTTAAGCCTCTGACAGAGGCGACCGATCAGCTCAATGATCATGACCTACGCGTTAACATACTGGTGTAACAGTCTTCCCTGCTCTGTAGTACGCAACATAGACATGGGCATATACTTCATACTTCAATCTTACCGAAGAAGATGTCCACTCCAGGCCTGTTTCAGTAGCCCAAATTTTTGAAGAACATCCCAAATTAGAAGTCCAACAAAAAATATCTCAAAAAATAGTGGGCTGACCACATGATTTTTCTACATTTTACATTCTACATGACCCATCATCAAATCTACTAAGTGGATTCCGGCACTACTTGCATCCGATTGGTTTTTCTCGCATTCATCGTCCACAGAGGCTCCGAACATTTTGCTAGTTGCTTCGATTGGTGCCTAAGAATGTCATCTTCCCTATGAACGTCATAGAATGCTGGTCCAGTAAATCTCCTGGCAGTCTCGGATACAGTCGAGCTGTGTTCCAGCATGGATTGGAGGAGAGCATTGGAAACGAAGTCGAATTAGCACCTTTGCTTCCTGATTTACAGCACCACTTACCACTGCGCTAGAAAGTGCTCCTAAACTTCTTTTATGGACTGTGACTATACTCCTAAAATCCACGACTATGAAATAGATTCAGATTTTTATTAAAAAAAAGAGACCTACCTAACGATATTGCTAAGGTCAACGTCTATTTCGGGAAATCCATCACCAGATTTGAAAAAAATCAGATATCCAAGACAGAAGAATGCAGCTGCAACCAAGAAGGAAAACGTGTTTCGAGCATGCAGCCGAATTTGCATCAGTGAACTCGCACCGTTCTGATAAAATAAATTCGTTTAATCAAATCTACACTGTAACCAAAGATTAAGGGCATAATTAAACTACCATGTATGTATGCAGTATGGGGAAGAAAAAAGATCTAAGAGCTAAACTTACCACAGATTGCCAAGTATCCGCCTACTAATCCCGACGGAAAACAACGAGATTTCAAGAGATTCAACATGCAACACGAAAACCGAACTCCACGAAGTTTAAAATGGGATGACGTTTACCTGAGCCCACGTGCACAAATGGACGGATCAGTAAGCCAGCAGAACAGACCAGCACACCTGAACCTATGCGGCTGAAATCATTGACCGGAACACATTGGCGAACTCTATAATCAATTCAGTTTGTCGAAAATAAGCTAAAAATCCACCCTATGCAAGTACGTAATCTAAAGGATGCAAATAAAGCAGAGCTGGAAAAACCCACAGTGCTCTTAATAACGGAAGTAGTGCATTAATAGTACAGTTATACTTCAATTCAAAGCAAGGAATACTCGAGGATATTAGAACCAAATGCGAAGTGAAAAGTCTTTACAACCCTAGTAAATGTCTCATTGTTAAAGACTACCTGTAAGACACCCATTTATGAAAATAGCTCACAAATATCTTCACAAACGAAGAGAACTCAGAGTAGGTCAAGGAGAGCTATTTGAGGTTCATTGTTTCATTCACAAAATGATACATATCATCTTTACATTATACCGTATACAGGGTTATAGTCATGTACAAACAGCTAGAAGACCTTAGAAAAAGTCCTATGTTGGTTATTACTGAGGCTGAAACAAGGCCACGAAGAACTACGCCAACAAAATAAATGTATATTCAAAGTAGATATACAGGTATATGAGTTTTAGTATGAAGAGATATCCTAGGGCATTCCAAATTTTCTAACATTATCACAAATTTAAAAGAAAGACGAATTAGCAGAGAAGTTTGCTATTGCTTAAAATACCTAATTTTGGTTCAAGTGACGAGACGCCCTAATCATTAGTTTTAGGTTTTACAGCGTTTACTAAAATATGATTTCAGTTCCTGTACTATCAGTAAGGATCATGAATAGTCTATGAGCTATAACAGGACCAAGACGACGACCATCTTCTGTCTGGATATTCGCTAACTCCACTACAGCATCTGTGTATCCCATCTAAACATTGGGGAACTGACCTCTAATGCAGATATCATTATTAAGCCACGAAAACAATAATTATAAAAGGTGGTTGGGACACACAGTAAAAAACTGAAGAGAAATTCAAAAACTACCTCTATGAATTTCTTGCTGGCAATAAATGGATTAGGAAATGCAGATAGAATGGCACGTCTCTGCCCATCTTGCATTCGACAAATCACCGATAGCATTTTGCTCCACCAGTCGCGGACCAAGACATCGGTAGAAGCGTCTTTAACACCCTGAACTTCGTTTTAGGTGAGTTGACTATACAACGTGACCGAAACCAAACCAGGAGCATTAAAGTCATAGAAAATCTCTGACAGAGAGAGAAACCTAAAGATTACTTAATGCTTACCTTCTCCACATCAACTATAAGGCGATTGTGACCGGTGGAATCATGAGTGCGACCCATCTTCGCCAGAGCGCGAGTAATTTGAGCCAAATAAAGCGCGAAATCGTGAGCAGTAGGAACGTAATGAAACTGAGTACGATAGTTATCGAAAAGCTCGATGGATAAGTCATGCACCTGAAACAGATACACAGCGTGACATATCTAAGAAAAACTGCTACACTATAATGTTTAAAAAACCGTGCACAAATGAGCAAAGGATAAGCCAAAATGCTATACCTGGCGAAAATTCTTCCCATATATGACCACAATGAGTGAAGAGTTCGCAACAGGGTACGAGAGCTTCTGCATGGCAACAAAATCTTCTAAACTCTTACTTCTTACCAGCTCGTTCAGTGATTCACTGGATATAACAACAGCGAACACATGCTGTTGAACCTGCAGCACTATAGATATTGTAACAAAGTAATAACTGGAAGCTCGATGAACCCACATGGTACTCCTCCTTTTTTACGATATCGCCACCTTCATCAACAGCCTCAATACATTTACGATGCCAAAGAACTTTCATGTCGGTACGTTCTTCATCGCAAACAAGTTGGTTGCCAATATTCCTCCCAGAGAATACCACACGTGTTCGCAATTCAGCCTCAGCTAAATAAGATCGCATTGTACTCGGACAGAACTTCTACTTCCTCCCTATTCATGAACTTACATAGAAGACAACTACTTCGGATTCCCTGTAGTCGTAAAATGTAGCAACATATCAACTAATTCAGTACCAGCAATTATTCATCAATGACTATAGTGTGTTTCCTTAGTTTTTTCTTTAGTGATTTTAAAGCCTCAATTTCATAACAATCACTCATAAACCATCCTCCCAACGGTTTACCGCCTCATCGTGGCTGGGTGGTGTTCCTGGGTGTTCACAGCAGCGACATCATCCACCCAGTAGGCTCTCCCAAGCTGAGAAGGAGTCTGACGTTTCCATCAGCAAGTCCAGCTATGAGTAAACCAGTACCAGGATTTACCACCATCCTGACATCAAACTAGTGGCAAATGTCCCTCTGATCCACAAGGGCGGCGACTACCTAGGCTAGTGACGAACTCGGGCAGACTTTGGCGTGACTGACTTCGATACTCCAAGAAACAATGGCTAAACCAGCAGAACTCCGAAAAAATGGAAATCAAGATGGGGCTCCCACACCAGTGAAAATGGGCCATCCAATTATCCAAGTAAGTAATCACAAACCATACTACCTTATTTCATTGCTCTTTTTTTCAACTTTTTCATAAACTTCCGCTTGACTTTTTTGACAGTTCCATTATCTCTCTACAATTCTCATACGAACTTCAGCAGACTGTACAACATTAACAGATAAGTTTAAACCATGAACTAAACATGAGCGAACAATAGTATTGCGGAATTAATTTAACTTCTTCCCCTACAATTCTGTAGGGCGCAGTAGTCGGAGTCGCCCTGCAATACACATGGGATCGACTATCGCGCCTCTGGCCCCCCATGCCTTCCATCCCTCCGGGCTCGATAAATCGGTACCAGACTTGTATGGGACGATAGCAGCACTGGCTCGATACATCGGTAGGCTACCGCGAGTCATTGTAAAGGGCCAGATATGCATTCAATAACCTCCAACGATGCTTAATGAAGTCGAATGCACGGTGCATCCCTCAGGGATTGATCAACGCCGAGAGCTCTATCCTTTTTTAACCCCAACAAGTCTGTAATTTTATATTGAAATCATGCTAAGCCCGCACGATGGAAATGCTTAAACGTGAGACACTGGCATTCTATTGAAGCTCATACTAGCTTAATATAATAGTCGGTTTTACTCTCGAGTTACGGATATTTGTAAGACCAATACCTACGAAATTCATTGAAAATCCGTCGACTGACGCAACAGAACATGTACTGTTCACACTTGGAATTCAAGGACGCACGGATTTCACGTTCAATGGCTTTCGTTTTCTTCTCACGCTAAAATAACCGCCATAGAAATGGTCAAAGAAACAATATATTGCAGCAGAATACCTGCTTCAACAGCTGAGCACTACGTGGCGCTCTTTTTCTGGATTTTTTCGTCCTCTCTTCTAAAAATGGGGTAAAATTTTGTGGAGAGCAGTAAGGACCAGTCAGCTCTCGCAGGTTACCTTTACTACACTCGTTATCACTCAGTTTCTGCATGTCATCTTGGAGCTGGACATCGACAAATTTCGAGTTGCTGAAGACCGGACCATGCCTGGGATGCGACAGTAAGTTAAGGGATGGAACTGTAGGAGGCACATTACACAAAAGCACCACGTTATGGCTTGAGCGACCTACCTCTCTTCAGACGTTAACTTTGTTTCACTGGTCGCTTGCTCAATATTCTGAAGCCGCTTGTAGTTGCTCAACTTCGCTCTCTTGGAGTTCGAGCCCAGATTTCTTTCGTTACCTGTTAGTATTCCACTTGCTTGTCACTTGTACAATGTCAACAGAAAAAAAGATGCCGTAGAAAATGTATGTTATCAAGGAACCAAGAACGCTACTACTGAACAGTGACAACTGCAAACCACCTGAATCACTGGAACCGGGATTACCCTGAGGCTGAATTGCATTCAGAGGTGAATCGGCCCGTATCAGGGAAGAAGAATACTCTTCAATGAACACGATATCATCGTTTTCCTCCATGAAATACGGGTTTTAATGACCAGACTAGCAGAAGTGAAAACGAATTAGACGAGACTATTACGTCGTACGGTGTCCAGTTATGTATTTACACAACACCTATTGGACTTTTCGGCAAGTCTGGATGTTTTCTGGGACCAGAAAGCCTATGAGGTTGACCCCGCCTATAGTTTTACTTCCTTTATTATAGGCATGATGGCTTATGTAATGTTATTTCAGTTTAATAATGCATCACGAAAAGTCTTGAAGATTTCCATTCCAGCCTGATCCGTCGTTGGATTGGACGCGTGGTTCCAAACGGTAGTGAGAGCGTTGAGCACATGGTCGTCAATGCTCATTAGTAGCAAACTAACCTTTCCGTTAAATAAATTGTCATAGTTTTGCTCTTAGTCCTTATGATCCAGGAGTGGTGTGAGGTGTGACCTCTGGGAACATTTTTCTTCACTTGTATCACCTGTGGTCCCGTTAATCGTCGAGTGACTCGACCGGGCGCCAGTAAATCTTTTATTTTCCCTGTCATGTGCAAGATTCTCCCAGTGGATTCTGCTGGCTCTAGGGACCCGTCGAGCATCATATCTTTCTTCTAGGGTTTTCGCGAAGAACTGACCATCGGGTCGGTTTTCCTGCAACAAAATGGGTTGCCCAGCTTATTTGTAACACGAGCAAATCTTGTTATATGTGCAGTCGTGTCCTTTGTTATGATATGAGATCACAGTTCTATACAATCGCTCTTGGTTACCACAAAAACGGTAGAACATTCAGTTGTGGCTTAGGCTTTCCGGTGGTACCGGTGTCATAGCCGTATTGATTCGCATCGAGTATCTACAACACATTTTCCAGTTATTGATGAGGTAATTTTCCCTGTCAAAATTAATTCCTTTTTACAGAAATCCTGGATTCGCCATCTAATTGGACCTACCATCTACGAAAGCGGTTTCCGCTGTATATCTGGCCGATACTGACCGCTGGTTAGTTCTATGTTCAGCTCTTTTTCAACTGTTTCCTAACATCAACTACCGGTTCAGGGGTAATTTTCCTTGATTGGAGACATACACAAGAGTGGAAAGCGAATGGTCGAGTGTCTGTGCTACAAACTCAACTTCTAGGAACTGGGCTGCAAGATCAAGGGAACGATAACGTCACCTGACGGTAGCATTACTTCTTTTGACCAACTAGAAAATCCTAGGCAGAATGTAAAAGTTTGCCTTCTGAAAGTCATCTTGTGTATGCTCAGTGTCCATTCTTTTATGCCAGGATAGGGATTATACTGGCGTGTTACTACTAGGTTAACTTTGGCGCGACTCAAATTTATCCCCGTCATTAATAAGTGGGCTTAATTGAATAGTGGGAAACGTCAATTCCCCATTCGTTGAATTTTATACGTGTTCGAACTAAATATTTGTGTTATTAACAGCTTTCGAACGACCTATTCTTTCTTTTCTTCTTTCGAAATCTTTTCGGTTCCTCCTCGCATTTGTCCCCCCACCAACCATCGAAGTTCACGTTTGATAAGTTTTAGATGTAAATGTAAATCGAAGTGTAAATTCGCTAGGGACGCAAAAGAGATAATGAATGTATAGTAAGAATTCATTTATAATACGTTGTCTTTACGTGTAATAAACAGCTTGTCTGGTTCGTGTCTGTTGTGTCATTTACCTTCTTACGTCCATCTATACATAAGGAGCGGATGGTTCAATTATTATAGGAAGTAACGAAACTGGGTGCAGTCCCGATTTATGCTCCCCAAATTAATCCCGTTGACGGGTAATTGCTAATAAAAAAGGGATAAAGCTCTCGGCTCAAAGCTGATCAATCTTTTAAGGATGCGCCATGCATTCGATTTCATTAAACATCGTTTCGAGGTGAATGGCTGTATGTCTGGCCCTTACAATGACTCGCCGTGGCCTACCGATGTATTAAAACAGTGCTGTTGTCCTCCTGGACAAGTCTGGTACTAATTTACCAACCCCAGCGGGATGGAAGACTTGGTGGGCCAGGAGGGCGGGAATACGTGGTTACTGATAGCGCCTGTAAAACCGCTAAGAGAAAGGCGAGACGAAGGACAAGCACGGTGTGGTGGTGGATGCGTTAGCCCCCGGAAAGGGTAAAAACGAGTTCGATCCGCGCCGCAAACGCCTGTCACCCGGAGTTTTGCAAATATCTCAACATCATTTAGTTGTATTATAGGAAGATGACCACATGATGAGGCATGCGTATAGTGCATGTTTACTTATCAGTGATTAAATGTTCATAACCGTCGTCTCGAGTAGTTCTTAACATTGTGAAATAATTGACTCTATTGACTTGACTGTTTGAATTTTATTGGGATTTCTTGCGATTTTCCACTGAATTTCTCTTTCAGTATAGAAAGTGAGATAATTATCTATCTACTACAAACATAAGTAACCGTTTCATTTCTTATCAACCGTATTGATCAGTGACATGAGTTTGTTAAGATGTGGCGAGTTCGCGGGTGACTGAGTGGAACTTGCAAGCGACGACATCAAATTTTCTGAAAGAAAAGACATATTATGTAAATCATACCACACTGCTATCGCCATCATCAGTGATACTCACAAAAATGGTTTTCTCAGACGTAACAAGGAAACATGAATGGTTTACCACTTGACTCTAGTGTTTTTTTTACGTGAGTTTCAAACTTCGACAGCGGTTTTTCTCCTAGTATGGCAACCTTATCTGCGGTAGCGCTCGATGTCTGCATAAAAGGATAAAGCTCTCGGCGTTGATCAATCTCTGAGGGAATGACTCGACTTCTTTAAGCATCGTTGGAGGTGACTGAACGTATATCTTCCCTTTACAATAACTCGCGGAAGCCTACCAATGTGTCGAGCCAGTACTACTGTCCTCCGAGATAAGTCTAGTACCAATTTTCCGACCTCGGAGGGATGGAAGGCTTGTCGAGCCAAGGACGCGGGATCGATCCCATGTGTGTATTGCAGGGCGTCTCCAATCATTGTGCCACACGCGCCCGATATTTTTATTTACAAGAAAAAATTGGGGGAAAGCTATGCATGGAATAACCGGTTCCCCTGTAGCAATATAGTGGTAAGAGGCAAGCATCCGATTAACAGTGATCAGCGACTCAGTATGGTGAAAATATGACGGCATGTACATGTACGGTCAATGTACAACTCCCCTCCGATCGTGCAATGATGGGTAGTTTGGCGAAATCGAAAGATGGCTACGAAATAAAATTTGCTTAGGGCCTGCAGTATTTATGAAGACTGCTATTTTACCCTTGGTAAAGCAGATGGGTTGCAGACTCATAAACCTTCATCCAACACTTACTGGCTGGTTCACATGTTCTTTGTCTGATGTTCTATGAACTGTTTTCTTGCAATGAAAATATTTTAGCGATAGTGAAGACCGAACACTAATTTGAACAGAGGTACAATTTCTTCGATTTTCGGGTCATGTGCGACTATGTGTACCGTACCGTCTGTTCTGAAACAACTGTGAAATTTTACTATATGAAATTTAAAACAAGGATTTTGTAATTTGGCTAGTGTTCTTATTTGGTAAAACTACCGAATAACGGAAACTTCGCCCACCTTCATCCCTAACGACGCGGATGTTCTTCAGCCAGTCAGCACTCGTCTTCACATCGTGGACTTCCTTCAGATGCTTATCGATATTTGTCGGGATCTAAAATTGTGTACACGAAATTGTAGGAAATGAATGGGAGGACTAAACTACATATAAAATGAAAGGACTCACCTCTCCGCATTTAATACATGCCAATTTCACGCCGTCTGATTTCATCTGCAGCTTCATATTTAGTACTTTCTGCCGATCCATTTGAATTAAAGAACTGAATTTTGTAAAATCTTCTCTAATAGCACCTGATAAAGCTTCCACGTTGCTTTTTCTTCATCATACCTACTGGAAGTTTATTAGTTGAACTTTTTATTTTCAACGTTATAGCACGGATAGCAACGCACAAGAGAATTTTGAGAATATACAGGCTTGTGGTTGTCCTTTACTAAACAATACCGTCTTCTCTTGGCTTCAAAGATATACAAGAACAAGATGCTTGAAAAGTACTTATGCAGAAAGAGTCGGACGGTGTTGTCCTGCACTTCATCCTAGACCTTTCATAATAGTCGCATTATTAGCAAGAGCATGTGGAAGTGTGGATGCCCTCTTGACGACACGGTTTCTCGATTCAGTAAGTTTATGGCTAACACCTAATGTCGACTATGCACTTGCATTGCACTTAGTTGGAGATACTCGGAGCTACCTGTAGGTCTTTGGAAGGCTGTTGAAATGTTGCGTTTCCTGCATATGCCTGACTAACAGTTCCATTGTTTGAAATGTTCGACTGCACTGTAGGCACTTCAAGATTGAGTCAACTTCGCTGTCCTTTCGTTGTTGCCCTAAAAAACTAGTGAATCATTGTAACAGACGGACGTTTACTAAAGTTGGTACCCAGTTTTGATTCCTTTGATCGTTACTGAATATGAGTCAGCTGTGTATTCTTTCTTTTATAAACCTACACGAGGTTGATATTTAATTTTTATTCGGCTAACGATTCGACGGTTCCATCTTTATCAGAGCCATGGACCGTCGACTCGGATCATCGGCTGTCATGAAGATGAAACCGTGGAGACGTTAGCCGAATATCAGCCTCTTGTAAGGTTATCAAAAAAAAACATTCATTAGTCATACCGAGGTTAAAGGGAAGTCAGTTTTGAAATGTGAGTCAGCTATTTCAGTATGATAAAAACGAACTCTACCTTATCGTATTTTTCCGTAGTTATTTAAACAGTGCGAATAAACCTGAGTCGCAACACGTCACTATCACCACCTGTACCAACTGTATCTCCTGATAAATTATTGAGGAACTTCATCAGGTGCCAATAATAGCTCAATTCTTTCACGTTTTGCGTCTAACTGCGCTGCACGCTGCACTCATTTGGAAGACACCACAATTTGGTCATGAGTCGCCTTTATTTTTACTGATTTTAGCGACTTCGCTACTGTTGATGCTCAACTGTATACATAATTTTAACTTATTCTTTACTGCCTCCTCTTTTTAACGGCAGAGTATACATTGTACCGTTACTGCCACACTGCCGTTAAAAAGAGTAGGCAGTAAATAATAAGTTAAAATTGTGATTATAACTGCGGCCTCAGCTTAATTGGGTTCGTTGCCGATTTGGGCCTCCAGATCAATCCGCTGACAGGTTATTGCTGGTGGCAAAAGATCTATAGAACTAGCTGAGAGACAGGCGAAACAAAGGACATGCATGGTGTGGTGGTGAACGCGTTACTCCCCGGAAGGAACAATAACGCGTTCGTTCCCCGCCATAGACACCTGCGGTCCAGAGTTTTGCAAATATCTCAGCAACGTTGTGGTTGTATTACTACATAACTCTCGATGATGTGCAATTGTTACTAAAGACTTCTCATTGTTAACTGTAGCCATGTTTACTTCACCCACATCAAATCTAGTTTCCTTTTTTTTTTTAGTTTTTATGGTGTTTCGCCTGTAAGCAGAACAGTTATCTATCATATAATCGAATAAGGAACATTTTCAACGAACTAGTCGCTCCAAAATTTCAAAGCTACTTCAGTGTGGTCGCTCTCCTATACCAACCAATACTATGTATGTTAAATAACAAAGAATATTAAAAATAAAGTGAAAGTTGTCGAAAGCTATTCATTTGTTTCTGGAATAACTGAATAATATGGCATCTAGGAGGGCGCGTGTAGCACAACGGTTAAAAATGTCCTGGAATACACGCACGGTCCATGGTTCGATCCCTCGTCTCACCAGGTCTTCCCTTCTTTTGAGATGGACAAACTGTTACGAAGCGTGTCTGCGAGGATGGTAGCACTGACTTGATGCATAGGTAAGCCAACCGGAAGTCATTGTACGGGTCATATGTGCATTCGCTCAACTCTACGATGGATCATGAAGTTAAATGCATGGCGGATCCTTAAGGGAATTGTTTAACGTTGAGCGTTTTACGTTTTTTACGGGATCTGGTCGATAAATCATATAGCACTCACCGTTCCAAGTTGATTCATTCTGCATTTTGCCTACAAACTGGAACAGTGCTCCCAGACCGCTGGCATATGGTGCAGTAGACGGTTTTCGAGACTGTTGCGCTACTAAATGAT